AAAACATTCAGCTAACTGTACAGTACAAGAAAGCAAACAGTGTTGCATTGTGAGCTTTTGCTCCGTGTCATGCTGTAACCACAGCTCCCATACAGAGTAACTGAGCTGAATACGCTCCGCTGCAGCTCAGCACTGAAAAATCAGCTGACTGGAGGAAAGCAGCGTCCTGGCACTCTGGCGTCTGGCACCGCACATCTGGCATTCAAAAGGCCTCGGAGCAAACGTGCTGACATTACTGTTTCGTGTGTGCTCTCTCTCTTTTTTCAGCCACCTGCTTTTTGATATCTATTGTTGTCATAGCAATGAATGACACTGGATGCTGCATATGAAATTATCCTGCAACCAAATGCCACTGCTCAATTTACAAAACAGTTATTGATATTAATTTGAAGAATAATTTAAAATGCTCTCTCTGGATTATTTTAATATGCTGTAGAAGTTCAAATGAATAAAATCTGCAGCTGAAGAACAGCGTCTTGAAATGTGGGTTTATGTGTCTGGAGGCACATTTTTGCCACGTAAAGTATGCTTTCTTCAGCAGATGTATTTAAAATAACCAACTCTTTCAGCACTAAAAACACTAACAAAACACAAGATCTTATAATCGCCACTTTGGCCTTCAAGCCAACATCTATATAGGGTTGATATAGCGTGCAGTCATTCAAGTTGACTCATGTCCTTGAGGCATAATTGTTCTAAGCTCATTCTGCTAGAAAAGTTGAGAGTGGCAGCAGGAGCAATATGTTTTCCTGCAATATCCCTGCCCTTCAAACAGTCACTTACTCAATTCCACATTGTGGGTTATAATCTTGCGGGTTATTATATAGATAGTCATCACCATTGTGCAGACCACCAACATTTCCTGAGGGATATTGAGTTAGCGCTATAGCCTGAAAAGAAACATACATTATTAAGGTGGTATGCTTTCCATATGCAAAGAATGTGAATAAATGTGAGAGACTTGAAGTCATGAATGAAACACGGTTTCATTTGAAGAATTTTTAAATTTATCAGAAAAATGTAGGTTTTGGAAAATGATTGACTTTCTTGCTGAGAGTTAGCCGGTTAGCTTAGCACAAAGAGCACAAAGACTTAAAACAGGGGGAAACTGCTATCTTGGCAGTCTAAAAGTAACAAAATCTGCCATTTTCTCATCTTATTTTCGCCTACAGTGCAAAGAAGCCCTTTTCAAAATGTCGAACAAATTTGAGCTCTTGAGTAAAGAATGCATAACTGGCAAATCAACTACATTTTATATGTATTAACACACTGTCTCAAGGTGTTACAGGTATAAGTAAATATCTTCACATTACAACATCAAGCGAGCCAAGAGTCGTTGGTCATTAGGGTGCTATTTTGGTATACACAGACAAGTAATAATATCTAAAACCCTGATAGTCTTTGTGTATAATGAACTCTGCTCATACAGTATGAGGCCACAATTCGCTGACATTACTACCCAATGTCAGAGAGCTTGACCCTTGCCCCTGGAAAATGGTCCTCGAATAAAATATAGAAGACAGAGGCGGGCAGGAGCAGTGAGGGGTCGATGAGGAGGCAGTGAAACTTACACACACTGGGTTTACAATGGGAAGAGGTGTGTAGATTGTCTCAGAACTATATCTGTGCTGCATTCAGTATTTTGTCAGTGGAATAAATGTATGGTAAGAAACCATTATGTTTATTACTTTATTATGTCTTGCAAAACTTCATCGCCAGGCCAGCTGTTGATTTCTTACTAATACTTTAAAAGCCGGAGCAATCATGTATCAACGAAAGCAGGCATTTAATGAACCTGAATTATTATTTTTACCCTTTCCAAAAACAAAACTTCACACTTTGTTGTGAAAGTACTTTTTCCACATTTGTTGTTTGTAACATTTTGAGAGAGACACAGCATGTGGATTCAGTTTTTGGTGTGCTTTTGGTCCAACACTATTTTTGCATAAATCTTGTTAAGTTAATCACCATCACAAAAAAACAACAAAATTGTTTGATTAGATTTGCAGTAGCAACAATTGGTCAAGACACGCTGTGTGCCTCACTGAATACTAGATGGCAAATTAACAGATAAGAATGTGGCCTTGTAAAACGGGGTCAGATGTAGAAGTTTCATTTACTGCAGCAATGAAATTTAGTTTGTTCATTTGAGTACTTTTAGCATACTAACAACATCAAATTGTTAAACCTAAGCTTAGTGTTGTTAGTAAGCCAATCCGATAAAGGAACTCTTGCTTGGGAAGTTTTCACTAAAGATATAAAACTTTTATTATAATATGCAAAACTACATAACAAACTCTGAAGAGCTCCAGCACAGATTTCTATAGTGTAATGTGAGGGTTTCTTTTCTAACTGTACATTTCAAGGAGATAGTGTGGGTGATACAGGAGTTGTCACATTTCACAACCACTGCCCTCTGCAGTAAAAGGGACAGTGTGTCTTGTGGTAGTGCTTCTTCTGCAGAGTGGTGGCACAGTCTAATTTAATTTACATTATAAAGACATAATCCACATACTGTGAGCACATGGAAACCACATTGAACTGCAAAATTAGTGCTGATTGCTCCCTAAAATGTCACCTAGTTCTGAAACAATTATAGTCAATAGCCTGAAAATTAGCAATTATTTTCACACACATTTGACAAATATTACTCAGTTTCAACTTTACTTTCTTTATTGTGTGTTATAGCAAACTGAATATATTTTGGTTTTAGGCTGTTGGTAGGAGAATTTCTTTTCTCACACTTCTTGACATTTTATTGACCAAACGATTAATAAATAATGAAAATAATCATTCGACTCGCAGCCGTAACTTCAACACTATCACATTTTATTAAAAAAAGAGGGATTTCAATCTATATTCCCAAAGAGAAAATGTATTGGATTGTACCTTTTCCAAATAATATTTACCTACAAATCACTGCAGGAACGAACACACACACAGACACACAGACACACACAGACACACACACACACACAGACACACACACACACACACACACACACACACACACACACACACACACACTACAGCAGTGTTAACTTCTATAGCAATGTTTTAATTTGGCCTAATCATGCACATTTTATCTTTTCAAGGTTACATGAAACCATGCAGACTGCACACACAGATGGGTCATTTTCTGCCCACATATGGCCCATTCCTGTAAATCCCTTCTATCTCATTTATTCCCACACAATGGCTATTCAATAATTCAAGAAATCTCTGTGCAGAACATGTTGCAACATACAGGCCATGTTCAGGAGAGCTACAGGCTTTTTCAGAAAGGTGGAATACACCAGGGATTCGCAAACAACAGCCGCAGAACCATGAAACAGCAGTGGGATCACTGGAGAACATTGCCGACAAGATCTTATTAAAATACATCAGAACTGACAGGAGACATTAAGCACTAAACACTGTAAAGGGTTCTTTCTAAAACCCCAAGGATGATATTGAGCATGGTGAGTACTTTTATGTTTAGCATTTGCTTAGCGTTGGTCTTCAAGGCAGCTTGCCTTCAGAAATATCCTCTTAAACACTCACACAGATATTATATCATCATTATATATCACCATAACAAAGTTCCTGAGTTCACTCAGTTACATTAGATGACATATATTTGAACTGTCATACTTTCCATGCTGTTTACATTATCTGTCCTTTCGTTCGGGTAGGGAGGCTCTTTAAAAACCTTAGGTATGTTTCTTAGTTAAAGAGAGAGACAAGTGAGCTCAATATTAAATCCCAATATACTCTTAATGGCGACCTGAACATCAAGGTGTGCACATTGTCTCCAGCATTGATTCTGAAGTCCAGTTTATTTTGGTTTTATTTTTTGGGGTTATGAAAAACCTAACACAGCTCTTCCAGCATGGATGATGCAAGTCCATCCCTGCAGAGAAATTTCAACATCCAATTCTTTTTCCCACTTTTGCTTCCTATAGTCTGTTGAGTTGCTCTTCAACAATACTATTCTTAGATACAGGCTCCCAATAAACCATGTTTTTTTAAGCTGGCATCATATTCAGGATTACACCAAAGAATCAATGGTCTTAATTGTGCTGCTACATAATCCCTCAGGCACAGAAAGCCAGCCCTCCGCCTCCTCTGGCAACGGCAGCGTAGTATATTATTTGTGGTTTTCTGCTGTCCTATATAAACATTGATATTTGCTTGTCTCGTGCTCTAAATTGTGTCAGGAATTTGGACTGGTAATGATTAAAACAGATTTAATAATCTGGGCAATATGTTCATTTTGATGGTCGTTATCTGGATGCCAAAGTCAAGGGGGAGCTCCATCTGTTAAGATCGCTGCACATCTTTTGGTATGTATAGAAATCATTTTAGAGGGGAGATGTGTCCTTTTTCAGCTTTATTCCAAAATATTTAATACTTTTAGAACTGTTTTCAAGTTCCTGTGGGGGGTTAAAATGAAAGACTAAGGCTTGGACAAGGACATTGTGTTAATAGAGACATTGCGTTTTGTGCCTTTTATCATAATACCCTCAAGGGCTGTCTCTTGTTTTATTAATAGAATGGTTCAATGAATAGGTTGAAGAGTCCTGGGCTAACCCCGTCAGCATCCTCATTGTCGGTCCATAGTCTTGGACAGATGGCCGTCTTTATTCTAGCAGTTTGGTATATATGTACAAGTTTCTTGCAGACATGTCTGTGGCATTTGGATAATTACTGGTGTACATGCTGTATTTCTCTACTTTATGGAGATTTAAAAAAAAGATTTTTGTGTTAAACATGATGTGTGTGTGTGTGTGTATTTTTCCTGGCCCTAAGACCATTTCATTAAATTATACAACTATTGACTAAGGTCATATATTTGAAAGTAATTCAAATTTTTTCTTCTACAGATATTGGTCAATTAACAGTAAAGGTTGTCTGTTATCTTCAGATTTGCTATCACGGGCACATTATGTTTATTTATATATAAAGTTTCTGTGGGTAACAGTCATTTCTGTGCTATAAAAAGACTCAATTCAAGGATCTTCTGTTGATTAAACTTTATATACATGGTGTCATCCGCACACACGATACAAAGAGATTGAGTACTATCAATAAGACAGATGGGTGAAAGTTTGGTTATAGTAGTAGACATTTAAAAAAAAAGGTGTAAAATGGGTGATGAGAAAATGATGCACCTTGTTCCCTAACTCATGTTGTATAACTCATGTAGTTTTGGAGGGTGTAGGTTGCCACGGTATCCAACAGCCAACCACGTGTCACAACTGTAGCTTGTTTAGAGAGACCTGTTGGGAAGACAATAGAGGATTTTTGAGAAAGTCTACAAATGACAAAATTATATGTATGTACAGTACATCCATAATATTTGGAATTGGTATAATGTAAGGATCAGAGCATCTAAATTAGCCACAAATGGGAGACTGTTTTTCTTGTTGTTGTCAGGCCACCAACTAACCCTTCTAGGTAAAACTAACATCAATACAGAATCAGATGTTCTTGCCCCTTTGTAGCCATCAATCTTATAACACTAGAGAGCCTGTAAACGTATATTTAAGCTTTAACTCTGAAATAACATTAAGAACCAGACAGCATGTCAATATTCCCAGAAACTCTGTGCTGAACCTTTTCTGTTCATTTGACCTGAAAAACAGTTCCTTGCCTATCATCACAGATCATGCAAATTTAGTAAAATATGCATTACGTTCCTTTAATGCAATAACTGACTTTACATGTCCAGAATATGTCATGTAAAACAAAATCTGGAGTGTGTGCACACATACTCGAACATTTCGATTACATCAGAGGGATGGTTGAGAGAAAAAGAGAGATGTGTGTGATTTCAATCAATGATGCAGAAGAAGAGGATAAAGGGGGAGTGAGAGAGAGAAAGGGAGGGCGATAGGCTACTCGATTACCTGGGCTATGAGTGCCAGAGGACGTGGCAGAGGCAAAGCTGCATTAAATATGCAGCAGTACAAATTAGGATGCCAGGAGAAGGGGGGGGGGACTCAGCCACTTGCTCCCTCTCTGTTTCAAACTGTCAGCTCTCCTGTTGCAATGGCAGCCTCTCTCTTCTGTGGCCAACTTGTTTTGACATTTCCCCCAGCTCCAATCTGACATTTTCTCTTGGCCATTTCTCTGCTGCCTAACTTGCTTCACACTCGTTTTCCTGGCAAGTCACTCCCCTCCCCTCCCCTCTTGTTGGGAACCTGTCTCATTTTGGCTGGCAGTGTCTGCCGTTTCACCGTTCTGTCACTCTCGAACCGTTCCTCGCACGGGCACAAACACAAACACATTCAAATCCACGTACTAATGGACACACAGGTGCACAGTCCTGCACACCACCCAGAATATCTATGTTTGTGGGGACCATCGGCTTATTCAAATTAAAAAATGTGACTGTAAACAATATTTCAACCAATACAGTAAATTAATGTTTAGTTGGCTTATTATGTATTCACATATTTACTGACTTTAGCCCAAAACCTCGCACTTATCAGCCCCTTTAAAAAAGGTTGATAGTCAAAATATGATCATGTGTTATTATAGGATCTTTTTATAGGTAAAAATATAATGTATTTTTATTATTATTATTATTATTACATCCTAAACATAATTAACTAACTAATTAGTTTATTTATTTGCTTCATGACAGAAAACACTATAAAAAGGAGAAAATAACAAACTAAGTAACGACCATTTGCATACCCTCATGCTCTAGCTAGGTCGAGCAGAAAGTCTTCAATAAATTGCCTCAATTATTAGCCTTGAATTAATTAAAAATAGCTAGCTCTCTGGTTGGTGCCTTCTCAAGTGACAGAAAAACAAAAGACTTGGTGGCACAAATGCTAATGTTGCATCATGGAAATCTGCTCTTATCTGTTATTCCCCTGTGATGTAATACCTCATCATGTGTTATCACTTCTCTTTAAAGAAAATCGCATTTCATGTATTCTCAATATTAACTAATTTTCTCTGTAAACTTACTTAACTCATGCTAGCAACCGCCTGAGGGATGACTGAAATGTTAAGACTATGAAAACAATTATATTTTATCAAAATTACTGACAACCTATGTTATATATATATATATATATATATATATATATATATATATATATATATATACATAATATTAATATGTTTAGGCATTTAGTCCAACACTGTCTGACTTTCCACAGGTCTGTGCTTGTGCCCCCGCTCGAACCCCCAGGGGTTATGTCATGTATGAATAATGTAATCAGTTCCCGCAGCTTCTGTCAGTCTAATCTCTATCTTTATGAACTCTGTATGTGAGTGAGAGAGAATGAAGATTGAAAGTGTGTTATAAAAGTAGCAGGTGATAATGACATTTTTATTTTCAGATGAGACTCACTGCTGTATGTAGACGATGAGGACTCCGATCCAGGCTGTACAATGACCAGCTGAAGCGACTTCTGTGCAACAAAAAGATAGAAAATGATGTCTAATTTAGAAATACAAAATCATCAATAAGTAGAACACATATAGCCAATTTTACAGCCAGCCAAATAGGAAGGAAATTATCTTTTCCCTTCTGCTTGTTGGATTATCTATTAGCAACATAAAGTTTCTTGGCTGAAACTAGCTGGCTTTTATTCAAAAATGAAATCAAACCAGGAGACAAACATTAAGCATTAACTGTTGTGGAGGCTGCAGCTTTGTGAGTCAAATAATTGTTCAGTGGGGGAGGCATGCATTTTATTGACTGCCACGCAGTCCCTGTAGGTAACAGTTTACTTATATTGCTTTTAATATATGAATCATAGGAATCTTAAGTGAGCTGGAATCAGGGGATCACCAAAGTTATCACAATTTATTCTGAGAGGGGAAGTGAATGTGTGTCCAAAAATTTAATGGCAATTCGTTTTCAGATTTAAGTTTGGACCAAAGTGGTGGAGCAGCGGCCAGGCCAACATTGCCATCCCCATAGCCCTGCTGCTATCATGGCTAAAACCTTTAGTCAAATAATAAAAGAGTATCAAGGAGACAGATCTCCTTCCGTTCTTTTTGTTAATCCATCATCCACAAACTCTCACCACTGATCTGATTTAAAAACAATTATCTCTGCATTTCAGCATTTTTTAAATGATACCGACCAATGGGAATGCAGCGCGGCACAATAACTGATATTTTTCATTTTATTTTTTTCCAAGTAGGGGAGTGTGGACACTCTTACCTGAGTATTGTCGAGGAGAAGTGGATCTTTGACTACAGCTGCTCCACAGAGCTCCACCATCCACTCCATTTCGTCTGCAATAAACACGCGTGCACACAAATGTTTACTGTTTTGGGCAAGCCCCGTTTGATCAAGTATCTTTTGGTCACACCTTAATGCAATTCTCTCTGCTTTCACCTCTCTGCCCCCCAAGGGGATACTGAGCAGACTCATTTCAAGCTCAGACTTCCTTTGTTTGCTGGGATGGAAAACAGGTCAATACTTAAGTCTCCCCTCAAATCAATATGTGCATCTCAGTCAATCAGTCAACAGACATTTAACTTGGTTTAGGAAAAAATCTGTTTATAATTCAACATACATCAGACAAGCCTTAAAACAATCCAAATCGACAGGTTCCCTTGCTTGTTGCCGTTAAAATGAGAACAAACAATCAACTTGCAGTATATGCTGTAGATAACCTCATCACTTAACATGCACAAACGTGAGCAATTAAATAATGGATGGGTGGGCAAAAGAAAACAGACTCCATCCTCATATTTATGCCATGTTAAAGAAAGTCTTTAAACTCCTCACGCAAACTAGCAGATGTCGAGCCATTAGCAATGCTTCATCGATCCAGCAGGCAGCGGGAGGATGCTGCAGGAGCACTTTAAGAGCCCCAGGAAGAAGGGAACTGAAGAATGCTGCCTGGTGGGTTTTTAAGCAATGTGCCCCCTAAGACCTTCACCCATGATCTATCTGTCAATGTCAAATGTTGGAAGGGTAAATCCAAAAAAAAAAATTGCATAAAGGGGCAACCAAACTCCTTTCTACCTTGAACTTGGAGGTCATTAACAGTTTAAATCACGAGGAGCAAGGTTGCCAAACTAGTGTTGCAAGACACTGCGAGACCGGGTTATCTTTAAAAGATGAGAGCAGCAAAATAACTTTGGCCACGACTGAGGGCTCATTTCTATTTTCTTCACGGAAAAATCCAAGCAGCTATACTGACGCCATAGCAACCGCTGTGCAACATGACAACATCACAGCAAAAATCTCATATAACTCCATAGTCCATATTCAATCCATCCACACTCTGGAGGTACTTGTCATTCATTCTCCAGTGCTGAAATGACAGGGGTTAAATAACACACACAGTTCTCAAGTTGTTTTGAAATCTGTGTGAGATACTTTAACTGTCCTTTTATTGTTATTGTTCGCCGTCTCTGTAAAGCAAGGTGGGTGTCTACCAAAGTCCTGCAGGACATTGACATCAAAAGCACTGAAAGAAATGTGGTTGAGCAAAGTATTTCATGATTGATACTGAACAGTGCAAACAACATGACGGCTGGTGGAAAAAGGCAACAATTTCACAAAAGTGAAATAACACAGTAGTTTTTTTCTTTTGACAACATGTGCAAATAAAAGTGCAAAAATCCTTGGTTTTCTGGTTAGTTGTCAGAAACATTACTTAGGTGAGTGCTGTGTTTCTCAGATAAGCAAGAAAACTACAGGCAAACAGAAAAAGTAATTAGAGATAGCTATAAAGTGCATGACAGACATATTTTATGATATATCTGATTATATTGAAGCACAATGAGCAACCTTAGCTAGTCTCTCATTACATACATTATATGGTGCCATATTCAACAAATTCACATGCTGGCAGGTAAATGAAATAAAAAAAATAAAAAAAATCTCTGCTAAGCATGTAAATATGTAAATATGAACACTGAGATCCATACTTTACATGCTGACTGGACACTACTTGGACATGTCATGTTGCTGATGTGATTTACCTGTAGTCATGTCTGTAAAAGGCCCTTGGAAGCAGATCTTGTAGCCTTTCATGAGCAACTAAAGAGAAAAAGAAGATACAAAGTGAGGACAAAATAATCTACAGTGGGTTGTCTGCAGAAATTCTCTAATCGAGCAAAAGAGGACATTTTACTGACAATATTCAATATTATTATTATCCGAGTATGTTTCTGAACTCTTCACCTGTCTTAATTGTTACACTGGTAGCACTAAAACATTTCACAATTTATAACAGGTATTCTTCACTTACAGTGTAAAAAAAACCCTCAAGACCTTGCTCCTTTTTTGCTCTCGCTGTAATACTGTAAATTCAGGGATGAGTCGAATAGAAAAAAGCAAACAGAGCCACCTTCACTGAGGTAATATCACGCTTTAAGCACGCAAAGAAAAACGACTTGCCCGACACCGGGGACACATTGTTTTATTGCACTCCGGGTCAATAAGCTTGCTTGAAATGGGAATGTAAAACTGTTTCCTTGAACCATGGTAACCACCCGAAAGGAAATGTGGAACTCACATCACAGTCTCATATACAGTGAGTGGCTGGATGAAAGTGTTTGGAAGATAAATGTCCGAGCAGCTGGAGAGAGAAATACAAATTTCTCACACCTCCCTGTCTGTCCATAATGATCATTAGCCAGAGGTGCTTGGTGAGATGAAAAAGTGTTTCTGTTACAGATTTTTAATTTAGACAACACCTAATGTCCTTCAGGAGGTATTAAAGTGTGTGATGTGATAACATGCAAACACACGCACAAAACACACACACACACACACACACACACACACACACACACACACACACACACACACACACACACACACACACACACACACACACACACACACACACACACACACACACACACACACACACACACACTCAGAGTTTCTGATTTCCTGGGCATCAACATTCTGGTGACAGACTCCTGAGTCCTGGCACTTCATTTAATCTGTTAGTCTGTTTGTCACAGTGGTTGCAGGTAACAGAAGGTTCGTATGAACAGGACAATCTGTCTGGCTCCATCAAAGTGCCTGCGCTGAGTTGAAGCCACTTAAATAAGCCTGAAATTACTAGCTAATTCAATTAGTGGAGGTTCTTCAAAGGCAGCGATACGGCCAACATGACATCTAGCCGTTTCTAATTTTCCCCCTCAGTGGCAACAGAACTGGTCCTGCTGGCCTGACACCAAGAGGAAAATTACAATTAGCTTTTTTACAACAGGTCCTGAGCTAAGAGGCTGGTGCAACAGGAAGAAACCAGTTAAATTGCCGCTTGTTATTAGAAAACTTTACTTGATTTTCTTCATAGAATCAGAATATTCTTTGTCGGCGGACATTGTGCTTTCATAAACAATACAGATGGCAATAATTGTCAATAATAGCAACAGTCAATGTGCTGATTTGTGTTTTTCTTTCTTTCTTTCTTTCTTTCTTTCTTTCTTTCCCTTACAGGAAAAAGGTGTTGGAAGTGATATTTTTTTGTTAAAATAAGTGTTAAATAGCTCTCCATTCTAACAGCAGTGTCCAACAGGAGTGTTCAGTAAGTAACTTGGGTCTCCCAGTCCCTATTTTCTGCAGTAAACAGATAATACATTTTCTTGTATCCCGTTCCCACTTTATCCAATCAGGAGAGAGAACTCCATAAAGAGGCGGTCCTTTCTATGTCTTTAAAGGCAGGCAGCAGAATTTCAGTGTGGTGATGTGGGGAGGAGGGAGGGGACTGCTAACGACAAGAACGGACAGGAAATTAGCCAGAATTTCGCTTACAGCACCTTTAAGATGAGCGTTGTTCCGTTTGTCAGTTCTTTTAGGAACACAGATGTCTGCTGCTGACAGTGTATCAGGTGTTGAGATCGTGAGTGAGTGAGTGAGTGGCTGACTTCTCACTCGAGAGGAATCGAGAGGAAGCAGCTTTCATGCATTTAAGAATTAAAGATTTACTTTATTAATCCCCTATTGGAGAAATGTTTTCACTCTTTTTTTATTTTTATACACACACAGGCTGAAAGGCACACAGTCATGCACATGCAGGGCTTGTGGACATGCAAACATGGAGAGAGATGGTGGAGTAATGGGCTGCCACGTTAGCAGTGCCCCAGGAGCCGTTTTGGGATAAGGTGCCTTGCTCAAGGGCAGCTCTCCAGCTACCAGTCCACATTGTACAATTTTATATTGTGAGAAAGAGAAAGGTCTCTTCACTAGATACTAGATGCTATTTTTGGCTGATAGCCCTGCTTTCAGTTTGCTTCCCCGACTGTTGAATTACTGTAGTCTTTAACGGGGGTATCCTGGTAGTCCAGTGGGCTCAGAAGCAAATAATCATTTCAAAAATGTCTCTTTCCTATAGATCAAGAACATCATCTGCCTACAGGATAGGCGAACTTTGTCTTAGCTGCAGTGAAATGCTAGTTTAGTTTTTGTAATTTGACTTTAACAAATGCTACTGCTTCTTATTTAAGGTCACAGTTGTCTCAGACCCTGTGGCTAGCCTTGCCTAGCAGCCTAGCAATGCCATCCCACAGTTTTTTTTTTTCTTGACTCATTGTGGTCTAGCCGCACCAAGGATGAATTAGCATGCGCCAGATATCATTACGAGTTCACTCTAAAAGAGATGACAGATCCTTCACTCAGACAAGAACATAAACTCTTTCTCCACCTGATTGAGTTTACCAGCCCAGGGACACGCTGCAATGTAAAGAGCAAGTAGCTACATCTTTAATTCTGGAGATTAATGTTTTTTTGTACAAGGTCCTTGACAAACAAGTTTTATGAATATATGAATATAAAATAAAAATTAAATGAATGCACCGATAGCTGGACCCAGAGATCTATGATACTATAAAGAGACCGGACCAAATGGAGATTGCTTGGAGAAAAGTAAGCCAGGGAACTGGGCTGCCTGGTAAGTTCTGAAAATATGTGTCTGTTACTTGATTCCAGTTATTGGTTTTACTTGACTATGTTAGCATAGTCCTGATCGATCTAAACTCCGTTCAGACAACAAGCATTTTGAAAGTTCCTTGCTTGTCTTCTTGTGGACAGACGTGACAAAATATGGATTTAGACTTTTATAAATCAGCATCATGATATAGTTGTTTCAGCATCCTTTTAATCTGTTGATTCATAGCAATATCTGTTTCTTTCTGAGCCTCACATTGCTGTACTAAGCCAGATTAATGGGCAAATATTTACTTGTGCAATTAAACATGATCCCGCGAGGAATGAGGCAAAAATGTGCGACGTGTTTGGTGTGAACACACCATTACAGCTGCAGGTGGAAGAGAAGAGCCACTCTTCAATTCCCTCATGACTTGTACTTTGAGAGGCTATTTAGATCAAATAAACACTATATAACAGCCATCCGGTGTAAGTGTGTAAGGGACTCACGTTATTGTCTTGAGTGGTACGAGCTCTCATGGGGCCCTGGTGGTTGGGTCCATTCACCACATCACCTCTCACTTCAAAGAGAGACTGTTGGAAGACAATGCAAAATGACTTTGGCGTATGTGCATCAAGCAGGTGAACCTAAATCACAATGGTATAAAACCTTTCCTGTTGCTATTAGCTTTTAAATAAGCGATACAATGATTCACTCTCATCTGATAAAAGGACTGCTGACAGACAGCTAATATTATTTGATTTATTTCAAGGGTCAGGTGCGCTCCTAAAAGTACACTAAATATTCTTCAGTTTGACAGAACTCATCTTATAATTGTATGGAGTCCATCTCTACATACACTATATGATGCATAAAAATTATTCTAAACTAGCCTGGACGATGGAGAAATAGTTTTAAATTAATGGGGATATTAAACAAAGCTTGGCAAAGGGACTATACTTGCATAGCATAGAACCAGATGCGGGAATTGCTAAAGCAAATGGATGACAAATAATTTATGAGGTATCACAGTGAACCGCATGGAGAGATTCATCATGCAGCCTTAATTCAACATCGAGACATGAAGACAAGTAACAGGAAATCAGCACCGAGCAAATTCAAGGAGCACACAGACGAGCATACCTCATCTAAGAGTTTCATTTGTTTGAAGCACTCTGAAATCCCTGCGGAGAGGAAATAAGAACAAAAACTTAAGAGCTTATTGTCAGAAGCACAAACACTGCACTGGTGGTTACTGTATTATGTAACACTTTTATTCCAGCCTATCTCTCCACATCATGCTGTTTTGTATTTAGTATTAAATTGTTGTAAACCCATCAGTAATGGAACTTGACGATAAAGGGAGTCAGGACTTACACTGGAAGCTCACCACCCACTTCCTGCCTGCAATGCCAAGGAAGTACTTCAGCGTGCGCTCGCACACCAATTGTTCATCTGGCAGAGAAGCGAGAAGAAACAGAGATGTGTGAAAAGATGTGAAAGATTGTACGTAAATAAACACACATACTATGAGGTGTAGAAACAAACAGACAATATATGTAGCAAAAGACTACCTGTGTGCTCTTAGAAACCATGCTGAAAGCTTTGAGGCGATGCAAAATGAAGCACAATATATGACTATAACTAGTGCCCACTCTTCCCAGAAATTGCTTTTTTATTATGTTATCATTTATGCTGCTTAAATTTTAATTACTTTTGTAAATCCTGGTGTTAAGGTTTTATGCCTGTGAAGCTATTCGCTGTTCATTCAAACTGTCCGACATATAAATAACTGTATGCTTCTTCCAGCAACAATCTTTGCAGTGATACAGTGAGTGATTCCTAAAAAGTTACTTTGCAGTTACCACAAATACAAAATGGATCTCTATGATACAACCAGAAAGATTAAAAATCGCATGTTGACAAATCTCTATCATTTTTAATTTCCATATTGTCGGAAAAATGAATACAGAGAACAATGTCTTCTCTGTAGAAATGACATTCGAATTGCAGTATTTTCACCAGGCACTGCGCCAAACAGTTGGAATGAACAGTGAATAGCTTTCACAGGCATAAACCATGGTTGATCAGCAGGGTCAGGGGTTATTCTTCCTTCCAAAAAAGATATTAATTATCTAGGCAAGAGTGAAGTGCAAATTACTGACACCCCTTAAACATAACTCCATTTCAAATGATTAGTATTTGCTGCTAATGGTCAGAATGGGACACCTTTCCAACCTTTAAACCACAAACATCAAGAGGCCGAGTGTTCCCATTTTTTGGTTACCTGGGAAACAGCTGCCATTAAAAAAAAAAAAAAAAAAAAAAGGCTTCTTAAACAGTGACAGTTAATATGGTGCTTTGGAGACAGCAAGCTCTGAAATTAAAAATAATCTATCAGAGAGGGTAATTAGCAACAAGCGGATGAATGGAGGAGAGAGTGAGTGGGTGAGAGAGAAACAGAGAGCTTATCTCTAAGGAGCTCTTTCAAAAGACGCACAAAACAAGCTGTAACTACATGTGAAAAGAAAAATGTACTTCAGGAAATGCAAATGTTCCTACTTAAGAAAATATTTAGTGCGATTTAAAGTGGACTTTTCAATAGCTGATTTAATTGCTCTTCTGTGTATCAACCATGAATTGAAGGCCACTACACTTACAATGATAGAGTCATCATAGAGTCTCTGCTAAATGAACAGTGTTATAAAAACACGCTGCCAGCATGTGAGCAGACTTACCTGTGTGCATTATGATGTGGGTCACCTCTGGCGTTACTTGGGAGACAACACGGGCACCGACTCGCTTGGCAAACTTTTTCACCACAATCTACAGGCGAAACATCTGATTGGTTAAAGCATCCTACTATAGAAAGAGCTAGACAAACACATTTACTGGCTGAATGGGTGAATGGGCACCTGTTCACTGGGGCCTAATCCAGATGACACTAGCACCATCTTGGCTTTACTTCTATCTTTCGGAGGAGTGTTATTTTCTTTGTCTTCTTGCCCATCTGATGGTGAACCATTGCTCTTTAGTGTTTTGGCTGCTGAACCTGAACTAACTGTTTTGGAGGCTCCGGTACCTTTTACACTCGTTCCTGTGTGTGTGGAGCGCTGCGCTGCTGATGAGAGAGAAAAATAACAAATAAAAAGTCATCAAAAGTTAGACAGAACTTAATCTGCTCAAACCCAACCCAGTTCATGTGCTACTGGAAGACTGAAACACATTTTATCTTTCTTAGAAAAACATGTGTCACAGTCTTTCCAACTCTACACCAGTCACCGTACCCATCTCTGCAGTGCTGCCATGCTTTGACATACCGGGCTGTGTGACCCCTTTGCCATCAGATGGTCTCGTGTTGGGCTCTTGTTCTGCTTCTGCAACAGACTTCCTGCAAAAATACGAGTACATAAACTTTTGTAGAACACTGAAGGAAATTAGACAACATGGTGCAGAGGGTAGCGACTGCAGCAAATTTGTATATTTATTAATATTACGCTTGATCTATTTCTGATTGTTCACGTATTTGCATTTGCAGGGTGACCATTGCTTTAAAATTCTGCTATTGTCTTTGAACTTTAGTACTTTGTTCATGCTGGAGATAAAAGAAGTCTGACCAATTTACATCCAACATTTCTGCAACAACTCCCACAACTCCTCTCTTAATGGACATTAAACAGAACAATAAACAACAGTGCAAAACCCTACTTAAACCCAAGAAACAAAAGGGTATATTTTACTTAATGAAGCTATCAAACATAGCTAAAGATTGTAGATTCACACTGGGATACAGTGCAGTCACAAAGTATTAGGACAGGGACACACTCCTGCTGTGTTGGCTCCAGCATATAAAATGTGAAATAAACACACAATCGCTATGGGGGTGCTGATTGTCAGCTTTAATTTGAAGGTGTTTGCATCCACAATATGTATCGCTGCCTTTTTATACAGGACAGAAAGTAACTGCTCAAGTTAACATACACTTAAAAAGGTTCAGTGTGTAACATTTAGGCGAATCAATTAGCAAAAATTGAATATAATACTCGTAGGTATGTTTTTATTAGTGTATAATCACCTGAAAACAAGAATGGTCATGTTTTCATTACCTTACAATGAGCTATTTTTGTTTACAGAGGGAACGGTTCTGCCATGTTGAACTGCCACGTTTCTACAGTGGCCCAGAATGGACAAGCCAAACAGTGGCTCTAGATAGAGCCTGTCACATTTTTCATATTTCGAAGAAACTATAGACCCGCAACGTCTGTAGCTCATTCTAAGGTAACGAAAACAGAATTCCTATATTCAGGTGATTATACACTAATGGAAACATATTGTTTCTATGAATATTATGTTCCATTTCTGCCAAAAGATCCTTCTAAATGTAACAAACCAGACCTTAAAATAAAGTCACTATTTAGTTGCAAATCCTTTGTTGTCAATAATTGTCAAACATGAGCAGATACTTGCTTTCTTCCCTGATGATGTTCCAACTGGTCTGATCCCTTTGATCCATGTCAAGTGACTGACTTAGCCAATCAAGAATATTACACTTGGCAGCCTGGAGTCTGGCATGCTGCATTATGTACCTCTAAAGCTGAACAGCAGCAATTTAAGTTCATAGTCATTGTTTCACTTCAAATAAAATATGCTGGAGTAGAGCCGAAGTAATAAAGACCAAAACATTGTCCTTACACTCTCTGACTGTGCTGTGCAGTTGTATTAAGTAGGAAGATGTAAAGGTTGGATCAGACCTCAGTATTGACAGAAACTCAATATCCAATTACTCATGTCTTTTGTTATCAGGAGATTACAAGCTATTGTATAACTCATATGAATAAAGTTTTCTTTTGGGTTCATTTATTCACTCAAAGACACACGAAATACTGACAACTGGCAGCGAGCCTACATTTAAATTACCTGCACCAAAGTGATAATGGCTCATTGAAAACTTGTCATATACTCTCTAATGCCAACTATTCTTTCCCATTTCTTTTCCCAGTGCGCTCATGGAGTGTACGCCTTTTTAATTTAGAACTTGTATAGTTAAGGCCCTCTGTGTTTTCATCTTCTGCTTTTTTTTTCTCCATCTTTCCCTCTCTCTTGCCTGGAGGACAGCACTTAGAACCCTGCAAGGCGAGAGGTTGGGGGGAAGCAGTCAAGCAGGAGAGATAAATTACTGTGGCAACACAAGTTTCCCTCTAAGTGCTCTAAATGACATATAAGATGCAGTCAGTAATGACTTTTTTATTCTCCACAGCATAAGCAGATTCTGGGTTCATTAGTGAGATTATCCGCCTGTCCTCTTGAGATGCATCACCCTCTGAGAACCAGACTAGCAACACACACAGACACACACACACACACACACACACAGACACACACACACACACACACACAGACACACACACACACACACACACACACACACACACACACACACACACACACACACACACACACACACACACACAAACACACACACACACGCTAAGTTTCTCCTTCAGTTAAAGAGTGAAAGAGACCAATTACATGCCACTTGCTCCAGTTATTGTTCTGCTTAATATGGCAGTGTTGAAATATAGCTCCATTTAAAATGTATTAACAATGTATACAACCCTCTGAGGAGAGAAATACAACACACCAAGGCAGATATTATTTCATTATATTTGTTACTGAAGTCAGATTTGACTTTAAAGATTGTCACAGCGGATTAGATAACTGGCATAGTGACAAACCCAAAAAACGTCCTGCTAACCAGGCTAGCTAGCTAAGCATTCCTTTAAAGTTACATGTACTTTGTAGGCACTGATTATTACCACATATATAAAACTAAATAAGACCAGAAAGATCAAAAGTCACATGTTGACAGATCTACCTATATTATCAGATGGATGAATACACAGAATAGTCAATCTTAAGAATGTCCTCTCTGTAGGAATTACCAAGAAGAACCAGTTTCAAACTGTCCCAATTCCTGAGAATCATTTAACTGCGTTATCTACTTCTCAAATCATTTCCTGAAAACAACAAACAATGGCATAATGTCGCGAGGGAAACTTTTTGGTCTTCATGTTAGACAGGCAGTGTTTATTTATAGTTTGACTGGTTGTACGTGATGCTTGCTGTTTCAGTAAGACAGTTTTGTTTTTCCGCAACAGAGATTAAACGTCCTGTGTGTAAGAGCTATTGGCAGAAATGGAATATAATATTCATTAGTGTATAATCACCTGAAAATAAGAGGAAGAGGTCCTGTTCTACAGAGTCAGCCATGTTGAACTTCCATAACAAAACAGACAAACCAAACATTGGCTCTAGATAGGGCCTTCTGCGTTTTTCACAGCCACCATAGTTTATCCTACACGCTTAGAAAGGGAGGGCAATGCGAGGGGCATTCAGTTGGTTGCAATCTGCAACTTCACAGCTAGATGCCACTAAATCCTACACACTAGTCCTTTAATTATTAAAGCTAAACTTAAGCACATATGCACTATTTTTGTGCACTTTTTCCTTCCTAAATATTGTGTTTTTATTTTCACTAAACTTTAACTTCTTGTGATTAAAAACGTCCTTACAAAAATGTTGTAGTTAATAGTAATAAAGTACTAATTTACAATAACAATAAATACGTATAATTTATTTATGTATTTTCTTTCACGGTACATTTTTTTCAATCAGGGAAATCATATCAGGAGAGATGAAAAACAGTAGCACTAGTCCACTCTACCATGCTTTACTCACCGGTCTGAACTTTGGCCTAGGTTCTGATCACATGGGAGGGGTCTGTGAGCGTCTGGGCCTGGGGACACAAAACAACCACCAGCTCTCAATATTTTAACTAAAAAGAAAGGCTTCAGTTTGGGGTCACTAGGTATGCTTCTTAAAAAAAAGAAGATAAGATAGAAATCACGTATCTTTGCTTTGATCTGCACTTCATATTAAATTTTAAAACTGGGTAAAGTTTCATGTTCAATACCACAAATTTCAACATTGTACTTCAGCCTTCTTTATATACAAAATCACTAAACTATTTACCTTAAAAATGCAGGAGTGGGTGATTTCTTGGCATTTCTGCTTAAGAAATGTCATAAAAAATAATAATCTACAAAGCAGTTAATTACCTAATCATGTCAGCTTTTCCTTATCTGCTCACCTGTGCTTTTGCCACTCTGATTTGTTTTTGAGGGGACTTCTTTTGTGGGACTGTCTTCCTTCTCCTGAAGCACCTCTGACACCAGAGCCATCAGCTTCTCCAACCTCACCAGCTCCTTCTGCATCTCTATCTTTTGCTGAATGAGGAGAAAACAAAGTAAAGTAGAACACCTTATAATTACAAATGAGTCATACATTTGAATAAAATGCAAGGCGGGGAATAAGAGGAAAAAAGAAAGTCGCAATGCAACATTTACGACAAAAAATAAATAAATGAAGGGAAACATAGGGGCTGCATATTTGATGTCTTGCACTTGACGTATGAAAACAATAAGAACTGTCAATCAGTGAGGAGGGAACCACACTCAGTTAGAGCCAGTTAGTCATTATTGGAAGGGAATGGGTGCTTTTCCAGCCAGACAGCACTTAGTGAGGAGAAAACATGGCAGAATAAGAGACAAGGAAGGTGATTATATGAAGTGACAACAGCTTTTCAACTGGTGGTTATTTGGAAGAACAGAGTGTATTGGTTTAAAAGTCTGTCTCTTTCAATGCTTCACCGAACTAATACTTTGAATTTCACCCTATCATCCAGCGCGAGTGCATTGATTATGTATACAGGCACACAAACACGCAGCGCAATAATACGAAACCTCTGTATTTTCAGATGTGTGTAATCCAGGGCCCCTTTCTAAACCCCAGGGCGTGAAACTTGAACTCCCCAGTCAAATACAGTCGACAGATAAAAGTGAGAGCGCTGGAAGATGGATGAGGTAGAAAACAAGAATCATCTCCTAGGCGGCATTTCCTCTAACGTAAATGAAATGCAATTTAGAAAGCTGCTGAGGGGGACATTTTTTACTGAGCGAGGTAGTCTGTCATCCAGAAGCTGACAGTTTGGTTTGGGAAAAGTGCGGTGGCTGCCCTCTCTGGGGCGTAACGTGACAGTGCATCACTGGGTGCACAAAGCAACCACGTAACTGATATACTGAATTAGATGTTATTTTTCTAAAACAATGTATTTCTTACAGCTGTGAATAAAAAAGTAATTGAATACATAATCACATTTACCTGCGTAACAAGGACTCCGCTTGAAAATTGTGATGATTCCATGGAAACAATGGGGTCATTTACTGGAACATCACCTGCAGAGAGCAAAAAATCAAACTGATTTGTCTAAATGCTTTTTTTCCCCTCCCACCGACACACAAATTGTAACAGTGGGAAACAACACAGTAAGCACATCTTTGGCAGAGTTATTGTATTGCTTAATCTCAGCAGGCTGCAAATCTAAACACGAAGCCTTAAAAAAATAAAAAAAGAGGCTATTTTGGTTACTGAGAATCAACTTACATTCATCTGGTGTGCCAAACAAGTCCACAGATGCTTGGCTGGAATTAACGCAGTCAGGGCTCGGGCACGCAGGTGGATGGCTCGACTGTTGTGCCCCATCAGCTGTAACACCCCCACATCTATTAGCCTCACTGGAGTCGCCCTGTTCCTGGGTCACAGCAGCGGGAGGAGCAGATGTTCCGAAGATTTTAGTCAAAGTTGGTAATTCCTCTTCACTACAATCTGACGAATCGGATGACGACTCGAGCCTCTGGGCCCGCGTCCTCTTCCTGGGCATGCTCTTGATGGAGGAATGGGCGCTGAGCTCTCCACTACCCCAGCTGTGTGACCCTGCTTCATGGACAGCTGGCATTCCAAGGCCATCAGGAGTTAAAGAGGACTCTGCATTTAAAACACTTTCAGCAGTGTGGACTGTATGTTTTTCACTGGCAGATGAACTGTGCACCAATATGCTGTCTCCTGTCTCCTCCACTTTGTTGGCCTCGTACAACGTACAATCAAGCTGATTCTCTGTAATTTGAGAACAATTTGAGGGTTCGTTTAGCTCCTCGTGTTCAACGGCTGTGAAGCAGAGCCCAGAATCTACGACTTGAGGTACAGCAGAAAGATGAGGACTTTCTATTTCACGTTTTGACACTTTATTAGGAGTAAGGGTGCTACTAACACTATTCCTGGAGAGACAGTTACCATCAGCACGGTCCTGATCTGAACAACTACTATCAGAGAAAGAGGCTTCTACCACCACTTGATCTGGTTTCTCGACAACTGTTCTTCTTGTCAGGCCAGGTGAGTTAGAAGGGGAGATCAAATCACTACAAGATGAGTTCTCATTGACTCTTAATGCCTCTTGGCTGGGAATTTCAGATACCTTTGTGGAAATCAGATTTTCTGCAGATTCAGCATCAGACCAGTTCTCCTCTGCTTCAGCACTCTGCATGTATTCTCGGTCTGAACTACAGCTCCTTTTCACTTTTGGACCACCAAGATGGAAAGATTTCCTTTTAGTGGCTTTGAAGCTCCTGAGCAGCTGCTCTGTGTCCAGTTCGCTGTCATTCTTATCCTCCTCGTTTTCTATAACAACACGTTTAGTCTCGCAAGCTGAAGCCTCAAACTGAAGATTTTTTGGGAAAGGATTTGTTGGATTGTCACTTTCAAGTGTTGGATCTATCACAGCAGCAGCAGTTGGACTTATAGAGCTTGGGACGACAGGGACATAACAAGCAACACCAGCTTCAGACAAAGTTTCAGAATTTGGCACTTCAGCAACGGACTCTTCAGCATCTTGTGTTGGTCTCACATAAGACGTTTTCTCACCAGACTCAATGTTTTCTATTTCTCCTAAATCTTGATCATAAATACATCCATTTCTTTCAGCCACCTTTGTTGTTGGTCCACTCTTAGGTGATGCCGTATTATCCAATGTTCCCCCTTTAGCATCCTCAGATTGCTTTGCAGAATCTTTGTCTTTTTCAAGTATTTTGGCTTTAAAGTGTGCTTTCTTGTGACCTTCCTGGACTTCCTCAGTGAAGACTTGAAGTCTCCTACTTCTCCTGGTGCTCCTCATGAGAGGGGTTTCTTGGTCCTCGCTGCTAGGGTAATTCTCAATATGAACTTGAACTTCTTCTGACCTTGGTCTAGTCTTAGGACTGGTTTCTCCATTTTGAACTCCAACCAGAACAAGGGGTTTCGGCACTCTTGCGGGCTTGCCTTTTTCTGACCTTATGTTTTTACCTTGCCTCTTGTCTGTTTTCTTTTGCTCAATACTTTCTGACTTTGCCTTAGTTTGCTCTAGCAAATCACTGTCAACTTGCTGCAGAGTGTTTCGTGACCTTTTCTTTGACTTACTTTCTGGTTGCTGTTGTCCAATATCAGATACAGGATCGGGAACCTCATGTTTGCCATTATTTTTGTCACTTTCTGACAAGTTGTTGAACATTTCCCCATGTTTGTCTATACCACTTTCCTCCATCTGTTCTGCTTCTTTAAAAATGTCACTACTGGTGTCCTTTACTTCTTCTATCGTTTGTTGCTCTTCCTCCATATCGCCTTCACTTTTATCTTCAGAGTTTGTTTTCTTGACAAAATCCGCAGGAGTGAGAGTGTTCTTCCTTCTTCTAGAGACTGTGTCGGGCACTGTTTCTTTAGGTGTTGGTGGTTCAACAAAAACATTAGGTGGCGGGGAGATGAGCCTGTTCCCTCTTCGCTCTCGTCTGTAGACGGCCCCAAACACCTGCTCTTCAAGGGCTTTAGCACGATCCGACCTCCTAGGATTCACATCACTATTTTGTTGCTGGACATCTATTGTTGAAGTGGAAGAACAGCTGTCAGAGTCATCTGTGTCTTCGTTGGGTTTCTCCAACTCAAGACTTCCTTCAGCTGGAACTTTCATGAGCCACTCAGCAACTTTCTCTAAACTTTTCTTCCGTTTCTGATCAAGAATCTTGTCAGGCTCCAAATTCTTTTTCTGCTTCTTCCTTGAGGACTTTCTTAAAGGTTGGTTTTCAGTCTCGTCTGGAATTATTATTTTCCCCAATTTGGGAACCGTTTTGCGTGTTGATGTTGCCTTTTCCACAACTTCTGACATTTCTGTTTCCATTGGTTCGAAATTATCAGTAGGGCTGTGCATTTTCTTGTCAGAAGTTGGTGGGGCCTCCCCGAGGCCACTGTCCAGGCCTTCATTTTCTTCTGTCGTCAAAGGACTATTGTTAAGTCCCATAAGTCTTGCAAATCCATTCTGGGCTAAAGAAAAATGGGAAATGTCAAATAATTAACCTTTTGGAAGACAAAACACTTTTGAAATGAATAATTTGTAACCTCAAGTGTTGTCTACCACTGCCTACTACTACTAGCTTTTAAATAAATAAATAAAAAACAATCTGCAAATGAATATGAGGTGAAAAGATGCACCACCATACAAGGTCTCATGATTGTACCTGCTATAGTTGAAGAGTGAGACCTTGGAAGATCATTGTCGGCATTTTCCACATTGTCACAGTCAGTGCCAGGTGTATCTCTAGATGACACATCATGGTGATATTTAGTAGCATCAGAATTTGTGACTCTGGGCAGAGGGAAAATACAAGGTGAGCTAATATTGTGAATCAATTAGCATCTGCATTATTTAAAACGAGAAGTTAAATGTTAATGTCCAAATTTCTTACCCTGATTGTCCATTCTGCTGCGACATTCCAGTAAAGTCTGAAAACATGAACATAATGTTATTAGGTAATGCAACGCAAGTTAATTTTACAAAGTCATTTTTTAGAAGTTTGTGATGTAGTCTTACAGTTTGTGCCAGTGTCGTGTTCATATGCCTGTATCATGTCCTGCAAACCTGCTACAAGTCTCTGAAACCCAGGACTCTCCTGCAGGCTCCTGTATGAGTAAGGAAAATGCATGTGTTATGATAATGCAAAAGTATTAAAAAATAATTAAAATCTTATTAAATTCATCCAACCTTTTGGTTATCTTGGCTTTACACACTGGACAGTTAGCCCTGTTTTGTTTGGTGTTGTCCAAAAGTTTCATCATACAAAATCTGGTGAAAAAGAAAAACACATATATTGTTTGTAAGCCATGTAAAAAAAATATTAAAATGTCACTTTATTTAGCAAAATGAGGAGTAATGGAACATTAATTACTTGCAAAACTGGTGGTCACACTTTGTGGATACAGGTGCAGTCATTAAATCCAAGCTAAAGTTGAAAGAAAGTATGAAGTGAGTAAAGAGCATGAACTTTTAATTCACCAAAAATAGTTAAAATAGTATAAATGCAGTAGATTTTGTTTATTTAACTTCTTGCTGAGAATGACACTCACCATATGGGACACTGTAGAGTCTCCCAAAGGACTGAAATGCCTTGTTTGACATCTGTGGCCTTTGGGGTTTTCATTGTGATGTTTAAAAACTACAAATGAAAAACAAAGCAGACACATAGAGACTGTAAACAATACACTCCTTTCAAAACTATTAGACATAAACTAAACAGTGAGCATGTCAATGGTAGAGCTGGTATTTGATGCCATTTAGCCATCCTTATAGCAAACACAGCTTAATTCAGTGATGGGGAAGGTAGGAGCATGGATAAACAGTGCATGAGTGTTGTTGTTGTGCTGCACAATTGTGTTGTCTAAACTACCAAAAACAAAATATTTACTCTGACAGATTTCTCCCAAATTTTCAAAAATTGAATACCAGCTGAAACTGTAGTTATACTTTCTATTATCATGCATGGCACTGACAGGAATGAACTGGACCACAGGGTTTACACACACATGAGCAGATACTAAAATATATATCAAAACTTGTATTTTTTGTTATTGTTATATAAAAAACTTGCATGGCTTTCGTTAGGTTATGACAATTGTATAACTGTGCACTTTGATCATGCCACATTTACTGCACATATAGACTTTATTGTTATGCAGATAGCAGGTTATAATGCGTTATTTATTAAAAGTTACTAAGGCTACTGCAGTATATATTGGCTGGCTTATATACATGCTCAAAACTTGGTTTTGAAGCACGAAATCAGACTTGTAAAGCAGCAAAACGTTAAAAACAGCAAACAGGTGATAAAACACGATATTCCAGTAACATCAGTCACAATTCACACTCAGTGGAAATGTTCAGTAAGCATATTGTAACGTTATAAAAACCTAATTTCATGTTTATATACAGTGTCATTAGCTTAAATTGGCAGCTAATCATTTGCTGCTATGGTTTATTGTGAGAGGTTCACTTAAACAACTAACGCTAATACTTCTGGGATAAAAAACAATCGACGCGAATATGTCGACAGACCAATGAGTAACTCACTGAGCACATCACAGTTTGTGAAATGCCACTGGTTCGTTGTAAATAAAATGTTTACCTTGTTGTCTAACAGGTCAGAGTTGTCAACACAGGAACCACCCGCTTCAGTTTTCCCGCAACTAGCGTCTTCTTCTGCTTTTGTTTTTACTGGTGGTTTGCGGGTGATGTTACAGCGCCGCCCACTGGTCCGGACGGTGAACTGCAGCCTCAGAGAGTGTGTGTGTGAGAGAGCAGTGTTTTATCATTCAGGTGTCTGTGACATTTACAGGAAAAATAAATGTGTTGTTCATAGGCAACAGCGGTTTCAACAGCCTATGGATTCAGGGAGTTTGTTTGTTAAAATCAATGTAATGGAATATCTTCCAGCTGCTGAATGTCAGCGTTTCCATCTTTTAAACTAGTTTCCTCCATGGTTACAAAAATGTATCCAAGGATGTGATTTCTACGGTGGCTCTGAGGTGCAAATCACAACGGCAAATCAGAAAACACAACACAAAAAGAGAAAACACAACGGCAAATCAGAAAACACAACGACATTAACCAAACCAGAAAAGGTAGGTACCCTCGGGCGACATGAGTCGTCACTGATTGGACAAAAGAACTGGTCCATCCTTTGAACCGGAAACACAACACCGCCAGACCTATGCATTCAAGTTGCCAAATCTGAAAATTCAAACCACTAAATAAGGAAAATATTGTATTAATACGTCCATGTTAATGTGGGATACCTAAGAGAGGTAGAAACAGGGGTTCCAATAGTCCATATCGTTGTGTTTTCTCTTTTTGTGTTGTGTTTTCTCTTTTTGTGTTGTGTTTTCTGATTTGCTGTTGTGATTTGCACCTCAGGGCCACCGTAGATTTCACATCAGTAGAGGGACAACAAAAGTAATATTGTGACTGAAATTTATTAGTAATTAGTACACTACTAGTTACTGGGAAAAGTAATTTTATTACTGTGATATTATGAGTTACTGCCCAACACTGGTTGTCAATATAGCTGGATGTATTCTCACCATTATTTTCTTTTGTGTAATGTTCTGTGATTTGATTTAACTACACTTTTGTTTGTATTTATTTATTTTAGCTATACTGCCTCTTAATGTTTAAATCAAACTTTAGCTAATATTGGATTTTGATCATATAGTTTAGGTAGGGTCACACATGTTGATAACTGTGTGCCTTTGACCTTTTAGCCTCTGTTTTCTTTATATTTGTATCAATTCTTTATTAACAACAGAACAATGAACACACTGTCAGGTTGACGCGATCCCACGTCACTTGCACACGTTTGATCACACGTCACGTCCGCCGTAAACAACAATAAGGAAGTGGAGAGAGAAGTCCGAGGCGCAAAAAGCAGCGGTCACGCTAAACATATTAGTGGCGATTTGTTGTTGTTGTGCGCAAGTCAGGATTATTATGCAATAGTTTTTATTCTTCGCAAGCGACAGTGAGTCTATGGTATGTTTATAAACTCTTGATTGGAAGTTACATACGAGCCAGCGGCACAGCTAATGTCAGCTAGCCTGCTGTCTAGCAGTTCAACCTCCTTACGCCAATCTTACGTCGAGCTGCAATCAATCTAAACACCACTCGATCATATTTACAATGTGCTTTTATTTCCCTACACGTCTTCCTGTAGCTAGCGATGGAGGGCTCCAAGTCGTCGAGTACAACCATGCAGGTCAGCTTCGTGTGTCAGCGGTGCTGTCAGCCGCTCAAACTGGACACATCCTTCAATGTGCTCGACCGAGTCACAATCCAGGAACTTATTGGTTTGTATACCTGTAAATGTAATCAATTATCGGTGTTGTGGTACGGAAACGTGAGTCGAAAGTGCTCCGTTTGTCGTGTAGTGACTGTATGTGTGTGTCCCTCTGTCCTCCTCAGCTCCGTTGGTCACAGTGACTCCCAGCAAGCCGGCTGACAGCACCGAGGGAGGGGCAGCACCAGAGGTAGACACAGCATCTTAAGATGTGAAGATATATACACACACACACACACACACACACACACACACACACTCACACACGTACTTCAGTAGACTGTTCAGGATGAGTGTGACCCCAAATGACTGGAATTCATCTGTGCTATTGTGTTATGCAGCTGTTCTCCACCATTATTGTTCAGCTCCTGTATCCACTCTGTATGAGCAGTCCCTCGGCCCAAAATCACAGAGCGATGGGATAAAACCGAGGTGTCAGGGAAACTGTTCACATGTGGATCTTTATGCCAACTGCATTTGTGACTACAATCTTTACTTATATAGCCACAGAAAGCGCAATAAAAACATATAATTAAGTGTTCTGGCTCTAGTACTGGATTGTTTTTGTTACTCCAGTTCAGTGTGTGTGTGTGTGTGTGTGTGTGTGTGTGTGTGTGTGTGTGTGTGTGTGTGTGTGAAAATAGTTTGTTAGCAAGCATTTCTAAGCTTCAGAATTACATTTCCCTTCCAGGAGACCTTTGTAGAAAACAAGCAAGATGGAGTGTCAAGAAAATACATCCCTCCTGCACGGTGAGTTTTTTATGATTACAGTTTATAGCTGTTGATTCTCTTTTAGTTGGATGTTTGACAAAATTGACTGAACTGCTGAATCTTGCCCTACAGGATGATGTCCACAGAGAGCGCAAACAGCTTCACACTGATTGGAGAAGCATCTGATGGTGGCACCATGGAAAACCTTAGTCGTAGGCTGAAGGTAAACTCCTACAGCTGAAAAATACAAACATAAACAGTTTGTTTGGATGAACTAATGGTTGTGATCTATGTCAGGGAACTGTTCTCATCTGACTATCCGTTAGTGACCAGATGAACACTTTTGTCTGTGATCCTACCCCACCCAGGTGACCAGTGACCTGTTTGACATCATGTCGGGCCAGACAGATGTGGACCACCCGCTATGTGAAGAATGTACTGACACCCTGCTGGACCACCTGGACACACAGCTCAACATCACAGAGAACGAATGCCAAAATTACAAGTGAGTTAAATCCTTTATGTGTCAGTTTTCAATTAAAGAGATTTCAAAGAGATGGAAAATGCTGTTTGTGTCACTCCCTACAACCCTGGTTTGGTTAAGGAGCTGATTCCAAAATGCTTACGTGTATGTTATAACATATACCGTATTTTCAGGCAATGTCTGGAGCTGCTGTCACACCTGCAGGTGGAGGAAGAGGAGACCCTGCTGGCAGAGCTGCAGCAGCTGAAGGAGGAGGAGGAGGCTCTGGTCCAGGAGCTGGAGGCAGTGGAGGACCAGAGGGCTGCTGTGGCCCAAGAACTAACCCAGAGCAGGACGCACTCTCAGCAGCTGGACACAGAGGAGCTACAGTGAGTGACCCGTAGACAGGTGACGTGTTCTGGACGCTAAATGATGCAGCAGCTAACAGCTCCGTCTTTTTCCACTGACTTTGTGCTAAAAGGTACCAAAAGGAGTACAGCGAGTTTAAACGGCAGCAGCTGGAGCTGGACGACGAGCTGAAGAGTGTTGACAACCAGATGCGTTACTGCCAGATTCAGCTAGATCGCCTTAAAAAGACCAACGTCTTCAATGCCACATTTCACATCTGGTAAACACACACACACACACACACACACACACACACACACACACACACACACACACATATTGTGTATGCTAAGAATAAATAACTTATTTTTCTGACAACCAATCACTTAGCAAATAGTTATTATAGGCCTCCGGGACAAAATAGAATCAATGCCCATTGACGGAGAATCTGAATTGTTTGTTTCTGTTCAGGCACAGCGGCCAGTTTGGTACAATCAACAACTTCCGTCTGGGTCGGCTCCCCAGCGTCCCAGTGGAGTGGAATGAGATTAACGCAGCCTGGGGGCAGACGGTGCTGCTGCTGCACGCTTTGGCCAACAAGATGGGGCTGCGCTTCCAGAGGTATACACACACACACACACACACACACACACACACACACACACACACACACACACACACACATTTCAGTTTGTTTGCAATTTGCATTGTATTAGCCAACTGATTAAGTTTAAAATGTGTTTTTCAGTTGAATCTCATCTGCAATACATATTCATAATAATAATTTTAACTCCTCTTCCATTTCAGTTTACAGGTTTTGTTTGTGTTCTTCGGCTCTCCTCCATGTTCTGTCTATCTCAGCATATAATCTTCATTTTCTTTCTGTTGCTTTGTTCTTTCTTTTACCTCAGTTGCTCAGAATTAATGGATCCTTAAGTTTTATTACAAATATCATGTATTTTTTACCATTACAATAATGTTATTCCTCAAATCAACATTAAATTAAGATTATTCAACATTTCTCCTCTCTCTTCAGATACTGTCTTGTCCCATATGGAAACCACTCATACTTAGAGTCACTGACAGACAAGTCCAAGGTAATACATAACAGTATTCTCAAGCCCAGCTCTCCCATCATCATTTATACACTCCTCCAGGCTCAAATCCTGCCCTTTCTTCCTTTTTGTCTCATGTTTGTCAAGGAACTTCCTCTGTACTGCTCAGGTGGCCTGAGGTTCTTCTGGGACAATAAATTCGACCATGCCATGGTGGCCTTTCTGGACTGTGTCCAGCAGTTCAAAGAGGAGGTGGAAAAAGGAGACACAGGATTCTGCCTTCCATACAGGTCAGATACCTGAAGGCCAGCACGATGTGTACATTTGTCCTCATGCTCATTAACCAGGGCATTATAGCAGCCATTTAAGATGAAGCTGTAAATATTTATGAAGTTTGAATAGAAATTCTAAACTATTACCTCAACTTATTCTTGAGGGGCTGGAGAACTGTCTGCTGTGATTATTCTGCTGAGGCAAATAAGGGACATTTGGGGAAGCTTTGGCTGAATAACCCTTTCAATTATTAAAGCTAAGCCTCCATTACAACTTTTACTAATATATTTACTACTGTAACTAGCCTTATAAAAGCTCCCAGTACCTCCAGCAATCTCCTCTGATAGCCCAACAAAGTCCAACAAATCGTTATCGTTATATTTTTGTATGGCACAATTTATTATGTTCATTAACTATGCTGATAATACTGTATGGCATTTAGTTAAACCCTGTAATACAGTGAGTACCACAGACTTTAAGGCTTGACATAATAACAAGGTTATTAGTTAGAGGGATGTCTGATCTAGATGGCAGCCATCAAACCTTGGATCATAATGTGATATTCCTTTATAATCTAGTGCACATTTCCTGGTCTGTCCAAAGTTTTGATCCAGATGAATGTTTGTCAACAATTACTGGTTGGTTTGCCATTATCATATGATATAAATATTCCTATAGATTGTGGCGAGTGTTACTCATTACATGGATGGATCAATTTCTAATCAAACAAAGTCTCAAAGTCAGAACATGCAGCAACTAGGGGGGCTAGCAGACAGACTGCAAAAAAAAGAGAAGAAAGGTACAAGATAAAGCAATAATTTTTTTTTTTACCTATCAATCACTCTCCTCCAACACTCTCTTATTGTCTGTGTCTTGCCGGAGTGGCTCCCATGGAAAAAAAAAAAGTGTCGGCCACTGCTTCAGAGCAATCATCAGAAATGTCTAATGGAATTAAATACACCAAACACAGTACATCCTTTTCACGTTGGACTCGGGTCTAAATGTCATCTTATGTCAATGTCAAGTATTTCCTTATCTAATTGGCAAATTTGTTTATTGAGGTAGCACCTGCTGTTGCTTAAGTAGTAATCTCCATTCAGTCTTTTCTTCCTCCACCAACAAGATCTTTTAAACCCTGTTATTTTGTCAGTTATAAGGATATGTCAACATTTAAACAGATTTTGACACAAATCTGGTGGACACAGACTTGTGGTTGAGGAGTATTTGGTCAAATTTAGATGTGATCAAGACTTTCTTATGAAATGAGATCACCACAGCTACAAAACAGAAATTCAGACTTCTACATTATTGGGGTCAACTGGTCAAAAACATTCTTACACTATATAATGCCAGATTATAATATTGATACCAGTACATCCACCAGGCCTTATGTGATGACTCTGATTGATGTTTCATTTCTCAGGATGGACGTGGAGAAGGGCAAGATTGAGGATACGGGAGGCAGCGGTGGTTCCTACTCCATCAAAACCCAATTCAACTCTGAGGAGCAGTGGACAAAGGCGCTCAAGTTTATGCTCACCAACCTGAAGTGGGGACTGGCCTGGGTCACCTCACAGTTCTACAACAGATAAACCTGCTGGACAGTGCCTTGTAATGTTTAGTTTTGGAAAGTCATGTACCCCTCCGATAAATGGATTTCGAGTGATTCTTATTTGGATACTTGGCCAAAGGAAATGGTTGTGTCTGCACCATTTTGCAAGTATTTTTTTAGGATTTCTAGTACAAAAATGCATGGAGCAATAGCTAGATCTTCAGTCCAGATTGTCTGTTTGTACATGTAACAAAGTGGAAATAATTTCTATCTATTTTGCTGCACAATGGAGATTAGAAATTGTGGGACAACGGTGGAAGCGTTGAAGACAGGCAAGGATCGTAGTCACGTCCCTCAAAGTGAGCAGCATAAGATGACTACACGTCTGTCTTTGAGGGTTTTTTTTTACCGTTTTATTGGCTAATTAATATCTGGCTTTTTCTCAAAAGCTGACGTTGCATTAACACAATTTCACACTTCCTCAGCTTTGAATGTAACTTAAAAGAAATCAAACACTTCTTACCACTTCATCAAGGTATCCTTGCTCTCCTGCACTGCACACCTTTGAAATCACTGTGAGAGGGAAAATCTTTTTGTCATCGTCCCAATTATATAAGCTGTAAGAGCATGATGTGATAATTATGGTCAAGGTAGGATATTTTTAATAGATTAAAAAGGTTTAGTATTCAACGGGTATGTCAGTATTTCTTTAACCTTGAATGCAGTTATCACATTTGCCAGTTACACACTTTACAGGTAAACTGTTGTATTTAGAGGTACACTGATGCAGCTTCTTTGTGTTCATACTCTGCACCATCACATGAATTTGTATGTTTTAGATATGAAGGATACTATTAGTGGTTGGATTTTAGTTAATAAACATGTCATGCTGTGTAAAAAAAAAAAAATCTGGTGTGGAGATTTTCTTATAGATTAAATGTATTTATGTAATTACAAACATTGAGACACATTCATGTAACTGCATCATGGTATCCTACTGAAAACAGTGTGGATGATTAAATTCATAAATACCCAGAATGAAAGTTGATAAAAAAAATAAAACATCTGTAAAAGTATTTTTGTGTGATTTACAATAAATGTGTATTATTTCCCAAATCAAGTAAGACACTGCAGTTAACCAAATGTTTTTTAATGGTTTCATAATTATTTCTGTTGAATCTTAACTCTCATCACAACACTCACTCATAGTCAGCCCCCCTATAAGGTTAACAAAAACATTACAGGGGGTACATTTCTTGGAAAAATATGGACTTAACAATTAAAATAATAAGCTGACTTCCAGTTATCCAGTAAAATATTCAAAATAGGTCAAAACCAGTTACTCTTTCCAGAATCAGCCCTCTTCTGTGTCAAGACGTGAACCTCGAATGGTGCCATGTCAACAAGGCAGGCCTTGAACTTTGGTCATCAGTCATTCCTTATTACTTATAGAAGCCCTTCCTAAAAGTCCCAGATTCAAACCTTATAGGGATACATATTTAAAAGTGACCACTAGTTCTGAAAAATAGTTTGTTAGATGATATATTTCAAGCAGAATGCAATGAAATTTCAACAATGCTTCTAAACCTTCCAGAGGACAGGCAGGTGGTCTTCCACATATGGCATACTTCTCAGCCTGTCACTTGTGCAATTTTTTGGGTGCTTTTACTATTCATCATGTAAAAAAGCCCCTTGAAATGAGCCAAAGTTTTTGTGTTAGTGCATGCATATGGGCAAATCTTTGGGTTCTACTGAGCCCACAGCCAGAGAATGGCCCTTCATTTTAACCACTTGGATGATGGTGGTGGGCCCGTTGACTACTACATCACCACGCCATCCATCATTTTGGTTCCATTCACACTTTTAGGATCCCTACACCCCATCATGCTCTTTGCTCCCCTCTCTCGCAATCGAGAGCAAAAGAGGAATTTCATCAAGTGTGTAAATGTCTCCGCGTGGCTTTGTCCTTGCTGGGGTTTTATTCCAGTTTCTTTTTTTCAGCTCGCTTCAATCGGAGGCACTGCTGCTGTAGCAGCTGGAGGTGGAGGGAAGAGGAGCTGCCAGTGGTGTGTTGCTGCCCAGGGCTTTTCGAATATGGGGCATTAGGAAGGGGTCACTGGCCAACTGCAGCACATCAACGCGGTCCTCCTTGTGATAAGCCAGGCAACGTCGAATGAAAGCCTGTGAAAGGAAAGGGGGGAAAAACGGACTCATTATTTCTGGAACTACTTGCATTTCTTTGGTCTTCTTGCTGACACCATTTTGTTTTCAAACATTTTGCATAATAAAATTTTAAGTACTTTTGTGCTCTGCCTATTACAACAATCTAAACTACCCCTCTGCTCCTTCTATCAAATCAAACAGACTCTTAAAATATCCCATTGGTTTCAATCCAAACATCCTTTTTGAGCGAGAATTGTATCACACTGAGGAGAAAAAATTTAATTTCCTGTGGGCTTTAAAACTTAGCACGTGATACTGTGTAAGGTTTGATGGGAACGGTGCATTGAATTTATAGCTTAAAAAAATAAATGAGTACCCCACCTTTGCTTCTGTGGTGACCACAGGTTTGGGGGGAAACTGCACCTCAGTGGCTTTTAATATGGTGTTTTCTTGAAGGATATCCTGCTGCGACTGGTTATGACCGAACGGCTGGAGAAAAGACAAAAGATAGACCGTTAACAGACAGATTACTTTCATTTTTCACATTGATTTAACCCAATCTGACAACAAGAGACCTGTTTAAGAATGCAAATTACAAGTTACCTTTCGTCCATATAAGCACTGGTAGAAGATGACCCCTACTGACCAAACATCTACTTTGTTGGATATTTTGGGGGGCTCCTTACCCACCACAAAGCACTCTGGAGGCAAATACCTGTAAACCACATAATAACATGAGATTGAAACAGGTTTTCCCTTTATAGAAGTTCTATCGACACTGTATCCCTTTACACAATTTTCTTACTGAAGACGAGATGTGAAGTCAATTAGCAACATTTCTCTCAAAGAACGGGGCCTCTGCTACAAACTTGTGAAGCCATATTGGTTTCTTGGTTACTAAATGCAGTGAAATATGTCTCTGTGTACCAGTAGGTCCCTGCTCCTTGTGAGGTCAGCTCCATGCCATCTGCAGAGTTGTAGCTGTCATCATCCATGATCTTAGACAGGCCAAAGTCAGTGATCTTAATCTCTCCACAAGCTGTGCCATTCACCAACAGGATGTTTCCTAAAATCAGAACAGTAAAAGTAAAATTACAACCAAATGACTGTAAAAAGCCTTTTTTGAGGAATATACACAATATATAATATTCATATATGCATACATTTATCTTAATTATAATCTAACCCAGATGCTTGTGGTGTTGCCTTTCCTGAAAGATCACAGCAAATTGTCCAAAAGCACCAAATTCAGTTTAGCAGTGCTGTTTTTCATGATTCTTTAACTAAAGAGGACTACAACATGACAAGCTAAAACTGTGAGCATACCGGGCTTGAGGTCGTAGTGGATGATGGGCGGGCGAATCTGGTTGAGGTACTTGAGGGCGTTGACAATCTGCATGACAATAGAGCGGCCCTCCTTCTCGGTCATCAGCTTATTCTGCTTCAAGTAGAAGTCCAGATCATTGCCTTCGCAGTACTCCAGCACTGTGCAGAACCTGCCAGATATACATACAGCAGATCATTGGGAAAGTTTTCACTACTGATCACTGCAAATAATTCTCTGTAGGTTCATCGCTACAGCATTATATGATGTTTAGCACTTAACATACACTTATGTTTGTATTACACCTTCATGAGCTTCATGCAGATCGATTCACTTACGAGTCTGTGTCAAGAGAGAAATAGTCATAGAGTTTGACTATTCTAGGGTGGTCAAGTTCTTTGTGGATTCTGTACTCTCTACAGGCATGTCTGAAAAAACATTAAATATTAAGTGATGTTTAAAAAAACATTACAAACAAGAACAGTCAAAGACAGTGGAAAGCTTGAAGGTCCACCATATAAAATTTCATTATAGATCAAAACATTCCCAACCACACAAAGAAGGAAGAGTAGGAACAGTGAACAGAGGTTCGGACTCACTTGTGGTAGTTTTGCTTCTTTTCTTCCCTCCAGTTCTTGTTGAGTTGATGGATTTTAATGGCAACATACCTTTGCTCCGTCAAATCAAAAGCCTACAAAAAAATTAAAATTACACATCAACAGCGTACAATAACCAGAAAGTTACACTGTTTACTGGATAAGGGACTGTTCCACCGTCGTCTTAGTTTATTGAAAAAGCATACTTAAAAAAAAAAAAAAAAAAAAAAAAAAAAAAAATAATACATATATATAAACTGGTACTTTGGTAAATAATGGAAGACAACAAAATGGCTTACCTTGAAAACTTCACTAAAGCCACCTCTTCCAAGCAAGTGTAATAGCAGATATCGGTCGTTCAGTGTGGGGTGGTCTTTAAATCTACAGAAGAAGACTTTCTTAAATCATCTGGCTTTTTCATTAAATTAAAAAAAAAAAAAGTTTAAGCAGACCACAGAACTTGTGTGAGGTGTGTTTCACTGAGATGATACGTACTGCGAGTTGTCCTCGTTATGGATTCTCTTCAGCTCTCGAATGTGTAGATTTCTCACTCGTTCCAAATGCTCCAGCTCTGCCTGGATCTCTGCTTCTTCCTACATACAACCACACAAATCTATCATCTATTTCAAGTTCAACCCTCAATAAATAGGAACAAGAAACAGTGGTACTAGGTCTTTAGGTTACTATGTAGTAACAGGTTGCAAACAAAACAACAAATCCCAAAACAAGAAAAAGCTTTAGGTGGTGAACTGGTACCTTTTTTAGATGACCAATTCGAAGTTTGAAAATCTCCTCTTGCTCATGATATTCTGCCAGTGACAACCTGTGTGGGGTAAAAAGTACCAACAGTTTGTAATGTGTATTATATTTTTGGAATATACCTAGGTCAGCTTGTGAGAAAAAAGCATAAATAAATTAATTACACACCTACTTTAGATAAAATGACAGAAAAAAGGCGACACAAAAACCTCATAATGAATTTCACACCAAGGGTTATTACAGATCTATCTTTACAAGTCTCAATATTCAATACTCAAAATAAGGATCAGATTTTGCATCAATTTGATATTCTACAGTTATAATAGTTTGCAAATAATATTGCTATTCATCACTCTCATGACATATTTTAGAATAATTGTTTTATATGGTCCATGTAAAAGTAAATGTGTGACGTAATTCAGCTATTGTATGTAACCTTACGCTTCATTCTCCTGGCCGTTGCTCCTGCTCTTTCGTTTGTTCTGTTCAAGGCTGGGCGGAGGCGTCTGGGCCATGGAGGGAGGTTTCCTCTTTCCCAGCAGCTTTCTCTGCCTCTCAATGTCCTCTCGCTGCGAGTTGATTCGCTCTTGCTGCCTAAAACATGTAAGAACAATCTGGTGTGAACACTCCTGTACGCATAATGGACAAAATGCGAGCATATGGTTGTGCCTATTTGCATGCTGACTTGATGAGGTTCTGGAAGGCATATCCATCTGTCCACTGCTCAGTGAAGGAGGCTCCGTGCCGTACAGTCGTGAAATGGCCCAGACGCAGGCGGTCCTGCATGCTCTTGTCCCTGCAAGCCATCTTCTCCTGCTTTGACTACAAAAAAAAAAAAAAAATAAAAAAGATGATAATTGAATGTATACACACTCAAAAAACAGATGAACCAAGAGGATGCAAAAATGTATTGCTGTTGAGTTCCACCATAATCATCATGAAACAGTTAAAAAGTTAGATGAGTCAAGTGTTCGGATGTATAAATAATAAAAAGAAAACAAATGTTTTGGGTTTTCATGTTGTTGACAACAATGACCACTTAGCTCTAACAGGTAAGACGCACATGTACACCCACCTTCTCGATTAGGAGCTTCTTGCTCATGGTCACACACTTGTTAAGTCGTTCCTTGTGGCGCTCCAGCATCTTCTGCTGCTCATCTACCTGCCGCCTCAAGTCACAGTTAGCCTGCCAAAACAAACATCATCACTCTGACAATAAGTGTTGTAAACAAGGATTTAAGGCAGTTTTGTTTGTTAAACCGACATGATGGAACAACTATCGGTGTGTCAGCTTGGTTTGCTGAGATTTACACTAAACGTTTAACAATGGCAAGTTAATGAGCACATTATTCATGATGAGCTACAACCAGACTGGTGGAGGTTAATTACTGGGCTTGTTGAGACAAACAGTAGCACATTTGTCTAGATTGTGAAGTGATTAATAAGGACATTTGTGAGTAGGCCTGACATACAACTATATATTTACATATATTGTTGAAAGCGTGTGACGTTAATCATTGTTAGTCAACCGAAATATTAACTTGTGTATGTGGAATTCGTAAGTATAAGTTTTTGTTAGGAATAATACAATTAGAACTTGTTTCCACCGTCCATATCTACTCTGAAACTCTTCAAACGTATTTTAAAACCTTATCCTTATCCGTATCTTACCCTCAGCAGGTCGTCTATCCTCCCCTCTTTCTTCTCCAAGTCAGAGTTCTTGTCCTTCTCCAGTGCTGTCAGTTTCAGCAGCGTCAGTTCTGACTGAGGAACGAGGGCAAAGACGACAACAAGCCAACAGTTAACATGTCATCCCACTCTAATGATGCAGACAGCCCTTGGGCCTGACAGTAACAAAACACACCATCTCTTCAAATTTATCAAAGTCAGACGTTGGTGTCTTGGATATTAGACATGAATTTTACAAAAAATGACCTTTAATTAGGCCAATTAGTGTCATTTGCAAGAATAGCTGGATATTTTTGCAAGTATTGTGTCACATGAACTGCAGTGTGGGTGGCAGGGCATTTTGAAGTCTGACCTTTAATTCTAACATCCACATCTTTCCCATCTCTTATTTTTTTAAATGGCAAAACAAGGTGTGAAGATGTGTCATCTCTACAAGTTTTGTCAAACTCAGTTAATGGTGTCTGAGATGCCACTTTTTCTAAAGATGATAGAGTTTATGAAACAAAAACACTTTTTTATTCAATACAACAACAAAAAAAATCAGAAAGGTTAGTGTTAAGTGGAGACCAAGGTCTGTCAGTCATTCACCTGGATGGCTTTGTGTGAGTAGGAGTGTGTCGGGGCTGTCTTAACAGAGCTGCAAGATGAAGAGTCTGTGTGGGCTGAGCCTGTGGACGAAGGACTGCCGTGCTGAAACTGCATTCCAGAGAGACAGAAGGAGAAAGGTAAATCAACATAGGTTAAAATATAACAATACAGACAGAATAACAAGATTATAAAATAGCCCTAAAGGGATAAAAACTAAAGGAACAAATACAGCTATTATAGGTGCAGCTATTAAGGTGGGAGAGAATTTAAACTGTAAAAATATCTACAGAATCTGATGTTAAATTTTCCATTCCAATGAATCTGAATTGAATAAAGAAATACTGGAGTCTATTCTCAAAGGTATCTTTGTTTTTGGCTATTAGTAATAAAAACAAACTGCATACAATAGTTGATATTTCCTATAAGATTTCAGGACAACAACAAAATGATATAACATAGCTTTATGAGACCTGAGTGATAGGAAAAGGCAGGTAATTATAAAGTGCTTTAAAATCTCCCATTTTAGTGAATATATGTTGTTGGCAGCAAGTGAACAGGAAATAGCCTTTCTGAAATAAACCTGCCAATACATCTTTCACTATGCAAGTCTTTCAAAAACCAAATTCTGTTTCCCAAGGAAATTCTGGAAAAACTACTTACAACTGATTGACTACTATACTACTACACAAAATTCCTTTACTACTACTACTACTACTACTACTACTACTACTACATCTGCACACAAAAGGAAGCTTGCTGATTAGAGATCGGTCAGAAACAAAAATCATCAAAAACACCACCAATAACGTCCTTTTCATGGCAACAAAATGTAGTTTGGAGTATCTGGGAACAAAATGGATAGACATAGTTTGCTAATTTGTTGCACTATTAACCAAAAGCTATGTCATTCATTGCAATGGGATCACTGTGTTGACCCTGGCTAGAGGGCTGCAGCTTTTTTTTTTGTTTATTTATTTTTTTAAACACAGTGCTCTTTTTGGTCTGGATGCCCAGTAGCAATTCAAATGGGGCACAGAGTTTGAAACAGAAAGTAAGTTCTGAAAGTCAGAAATTTCCAATCAGTCTCCCTCCTTGTATAGTCCTTTTGTGGTTTGGGACACCAGACGTCACTCATTACACTTTTAATTTAGAGCCCTGCTGCTGTAAGAAACAGTTTACATGCTGTTTAGTAGTTAGTGAACAAGGATTTGTAGTTGTGATGAGGAACGATGTTATCTTAACATAAGATGAATGCAAATGGTAGGTGAAGAGATTCTAAATACAGGACACAGTGATGAAAAACCACTACAAATTTCAAAGTGCAGGCACCAATTTTACATGATGTACACAAGTCCTGCTGTACTACTCTCCCTGCCTTAGATGCCAGATTTTTTTTTTAAATACACTAGCAGTGAAAACATTAGCTACAGTTTCTCTGGCTAAAGGTTAAAGTGTATCCTACATTTGATCCTCAATAAACACAACACACTCAGCTGTTCTGTTATAGGTACAACTAACCCACACTATCAGACTCCATTCTGTGCTTGTTTTCAATTTCCATTTTAGTTTAACTAAATCTTTAAAAAAATCACTAGGGAATGTTTTGTCACTTTGACTGGCTGAAATGATCCAGACATCCAGATGTGTCTATTAGACCCGAAATTGATTAGACTATGGTAAAATAAACAAAACTAAATCTTACCAACACATGCAATATAACTCTGTCCGATTGAGAGAATACTGATGCTAAGACAATATAGACAAATACCCACATAACCAACAAATAAATTATACACTTGCTACAGATCAAATAGCAAGTGACCCAACGGTAAAACAATTGAAGAAAGAGAGCCAAAGCAGGAGAGAGCTATGGAGATGGATGCTGGTGCTCACCAGAGGATTAGACAGTGAGTGCTGTGGAGAGGAGCGCACCAGCATGGGGATGCCCCGGGCAGGACTGGTGCCAGAGCCACTGCTACCAGCAAACTGGCCACAGGGCAGTTGACAAACAAGTGTACAAACAAGACAGAAAGAAAGAAGACAGAGTTGTTATTTAGGAAGAACTTGATGCAGGGCCATACTGGCACAGTTGGAAAATGAGGGTGAAGACATCACACTAAAGTTTGAGAGTGATTTGAAACAAGGCACAGCAAAGTGGCGAGAATCCCAAATTCATCCACCAGGACTAACACATATGACGTTTAGTTTGTACTCACCTCAAAATAATCACTTATTTTATGCCCTCTCCCTTTTCCTAAACAAAAAAACGAAGTGTAAGAGACAAGAAAAATAAATTGTTTGATCCAATACTATGTTCCAAAGCATATACTTATTAGAGCATAACAATAACAACAACCATTAATTAACAGCTGAACATTTCTGAATGTTTCTGTTAGGACGGACTTACCCTGACTGTTGCTGTCATAGATGTCTCCTTTTCTCTTCCTGCTTCTCTGGTCATTGGCCTTCTTCTCAGGTGTCTTACATGAGCAGAAAAGCAGCACAGCTTAGATTTAAATTTGACTCTAGTAAATGTATTCCATTACCACATTAACATAACGAAAATTAATGAAAATGAAGTCTTGCCCTTTCATGTTATACGGGTAATTTCCTGTCTTGCTAAAAAAACTAAAATGTTTGACTATAAGATTAATAGCAGCTTCTTTTATGTGTTCAATATTTAGTGAACTATTTTATATATTCATGCCTCACCCTTCTGTGTGAGAAGGAACAGAAAGTGTTAGCATGCACCAATGTATAGAAAATACTTGACCACTTGTCCACATCACTAACAATCACTAGGGATACCACTGAAAGTCAGGAAATGCTCGCTCATCATTTTTATTGACTCTTCCTCAACCAACCTCCAGTTCCTTGTCACTGAGAGATCCCGCGCTGCACAGAGACTGGTTGGATGATTCACTGTTGGCTGAACTCTGGGAAACACAACATGTGTATCAGACCTGATTGATTAGTCATGTGCTACTCTTGTAAGTAGGTTCTTGTGAGTAGAACTGGAACTTAGATTTTACAGATATATATATTTACATGACAATTTCTTGTAAAATAAAACCTATTCTGTTATATATGGACTGTGTGCTCATATAAATCACAGAAGGATGACAGCTGTTGGCAAATATTTGCAAGTAAACTCAGAAATGTAAGTGCAGATTTCGACACATCTGTTCTATCTGATACCAGTTGGCATTTATTTGCATTTGACTGGCATCATTTGTTTTCCACTCTGTGTATCTAAAATAACTGTCACTAAACTAAGATGCTAAGCTAGAATGCTACAATGGGAGTATAATATACATAACCTGTTAATATGCAAATCTTCAGTTCACATTCACTTGGTAAAATCAGTCGGTGTCATGCACAGCATTGATGGCCAACTGCACAGCGTGGTGAGACTAAGAAGAAACAGCAGGCTAATTGGAGCAGGAGGCTAATGCTTTTTAAGGCTTGCTGGCTCAAGGTCACCCATACAGCCAAGAACATTTTTCTCTCAACATGTACACTACACATGGTCATTATAATGTATTGAATGGTACCTTAAATCATGCCTTAAATAATTCACACTCCAATACCACAGCGAGCAGGCCTGATAATTCATTTCAGAGCACACGCTATAGGCCGGAGCATGAGTGATAGTGATTGGCTTTTCAGGGGTTGCCATTTTCTCAAATGTGCACCCACACACAGTAATACCCAGTTCAGCAGCAGGGTTGCAGCATAGCACGCAGCCTATGCTGTGAGCTTCAGCTGCAGTGCCATTTCAGTGTCACTAGCCTCCACTGAAACAAAGAGCTGCTGGCCAGCTCCCATGTCAGCCAAAACAGAGCTTGTCTTGTTTTAGCTTTAGCTCAGGGAGACAGGATAATTCCACTGAGAAAACTCCTGAACACAGAGCATCAGTCAATACTGGAAATAGAGAAGACTTCCAAGTGTTTCTAAACTAAAAAGGACTAACATAAGAGAGCTCACCAACTGCTCATGTTTGCATTCACACACAAACCAAAGTAGGGTTGTGGGATGTTTGCCTGCAGGAAAACTGGGAGCTACTGTTTTGTATCTCCAAATTTATTTCAGCAGGTATCAAAAGGAACATTCATTTAGTTTTCCAGACAAAATTTCTCAACAATAAAATGCAACTCTCATTAAATTGTATCTAAAATGCAACATCTGCTCAAACAATCTCTACTTACAACAGCTGATCCTTTTGATCAACAAACGACCATTATGCCATTAAGATATACCAACCTTGGTCACACCAACTCCAGTGAAGCGAGCCTCAAGCAGCTCCTGCCTGCGTGGGTCCAGGCTTAAAGCCTGGCTGTGAAGTCCTTCCATCATGCCTAGAAAAAGAGACACAAACTGTGAATGAAATTGTAACTTATGTGGACTAGCTGGCCTTGGTTATTGTCACACAAGAGAAGACTGCTATGAACAGGAAGAATAGCACACTGGCTACCACTACCATGAAGGTAATATATTCTTTATAACTATGGCAGGTGCCCTAACAGTCTGATCAATCCTACGGTCTGACCGGCAAAATCTATTCAAAACCTTTAAAAACGGCTGCCTGGGAGCCTGGGCCTATGTTGGATCAGCCCACTGTCCAAAGTGAACCAGTGCTCAAACATCTGACACAAAGCAAACGTTGACAGGCAAGTTGACAGGCAAGATGGACACCCAACAGAATTTTGTACGGTTACAGTAGTAGCTCGATGGTTAACTTAACCTATTGGACCTGCAGTACAAAACTGCTAAAGGACACTGAACCCTGAAAAAAAGAATAAGGAAAAGACTATCAGACTCTGGTGTATATGTAACATTAGGCCATTAATGTCTAGTCTCTCCAGTGAAGTTCATATTGTGTAGCAGTTAAACTCCTAAGGTTGCCTGTCCTGAACTGGTATGCAAAGTGGATACTCAAAGATCATAGAAGAAAGTGAATGATCAAGGAGAGCCACTGAATATAGACATTACTGGTGGGGGCGGTAATTCCCCACTGTCATTAAGGTTACATTACTAATTTTACAGTTAAATCAGAGAGACAGTAAGGCCAAATGGACCAAAAATAATCTCTCAATTTCCCCTTCCTTGTAAATGGCTATCATAACCATATGAAATGGGCTCGACTTCCTTCTCCCACTGGCTACTCCTACCTGAGAGGGTATCCATCAACTAGTGATGGATTTATCTTAGGGGGGGTACATAAGCGACGTTTGATCACTCAAAAACAACACAAATAAACAAACAAATAATCCAACATTACACTTTTTTTTTCCCCCACCCAGGACGGCCAACGTTAGTTCATTTTTGCCCCTTTTTTTTTAAAACAATGGTGATCAGCAAAGGTTACTATAAAGAATGTGCCATCTTAACTTTAATGACAAACCACAGGCTCAACTTTATTCAGCAGTTCCGTTAAACTGACGTTATTGGCAGTTGGTGGAACAACCGTTACGATATTGGCGTTTAACTGACCAGAGGATGTTGACTAGCTAATGCTAAACCTGGCTAACGCTAACTAGCTATAGTTAACACTGACACAGGCTGCTTGTCAAAATCTTGCGAGCATTTTAATGAACATAAGACACGCTGTCACTCACTGTCAAGTTATTATCAATTCACTGTGTCATTTTGGTCACTGTTAATAGCAGCTGTGATGCTACTGGTGACTGGCTAAATAGCAGCTAAGGCTAGATGGTAAGTTACCTAAACTAGCTAGCGTTCGTTACCTAGCAGCAAGAGGAGTCTCACCTGGAGAACCTTTCGCAGTTTTCACCGTCCTAGAAAGGATGTTGTCCGTCCATCCGGTGACAGCAAACTCCTTAACAAGTCCCAGTCCCACACACCTCAAATAAAGTTGTTTGAAACAAGATATCCATTTAAAATTATTTCGAATTCAGGGAAGACATTTGTTAGCTTAGCCAATGCTAGCTATGGAGAGCGGTGTGGCTGTCTCCTGCTGGTGTCATCCGGACAGGAGGCCCTGATCCTCGGGGTTTCCTCCTCCGTCCTGGTGCCCCTGCACGGGCAAACCTGGAGCTGTCACTGCTCTGAAGCCTCTTAACAAAGTGTTGTCACATTTCTGCTTCACTCGGTCTCTTTATTGTCATTATCGAGCGATGAGAGGTTTACACCGGGAGGAGTAGTTCAGCCACCTTGTTAGAGTCCATTCTTTCACAGTTAATAAAAGATCATTACCCCCTGCAGCAAGGCCGCACAGGGCTCCAGGGAGAGCTTTATGTGATGCTTCCCATTCGCTTGTTTAACAGATAATGTAAGCTCCCCTTGTCAGAACCACCCGAAAACAGACAGCATACTGTTGGCAGGAGTTGATTACCAGCCTTAATTGCAAATCTGGCAACTGTCCGAGGCCCCAGACCTCTAGGGGCCCCAAAAAGTCCCTGGTTCATTGTGTGCCAGTTGTTTTTGGAGGTTATTTGACAGATTTCGTTTGGGAATGTGCACCTTTAAAGTACTAGTTTAGTTTTTGCAATTTTCCATTTGGATGAATCAAATATTTCTAAAACATGTTCCTAAAAAAAAGTTGCCAAACTTAACAGTTTCCAAATTTTATCACAGATACTGGACCATGAACAGCACATATAAGCTACATTAAAAAACTTTTAATTTGCGTTGAGTTTTGCTTCTGTTCTCTTTTTTCCTCTGCGTTAAAACTTTGCGTCTATTACAGATTAAAGTTTCTATTAAAATGCAACATTTAATGCGATTAGAAGATGGTCAGTCTTACAGTTTTACAGAAACCTCACTCTGTAAATATCCTGTACGATGCCCACAACTGTTTATGTGTAGTATATTTTCTCTTTTTGTATGAATGTAATGCATGTAGCCCTCACACAGCTGCAGGGATTATAAATGCGTCTCCAAAAAAGGCGCTGCGCCATTTACGCACAAAACACCGACTTCATTACTTCTGGTGTGTGCAGAGCTTTTTGTCTGCACTGCTTGGGCCCAATGCATTGCATATGCAAATATACTGCTCTCTGTAACCTGTATAATTCATCTGAGATAATTTATCTTCTATCTTGAATAACGTAATTTGTATATACTGCGCACAAGGACCAGTCAGTGATTTATACTTGCAGTTTAAGTCCAGGAGATGGAAGCAGAGCATTGCAGACCATACGCTCTGCACGCTTGTCGTGGGGATGCAGCACTATAATTTAATTGTGTTCATAATCTATCTGTGTCTTTAGTAAATTCGTGTAGTGTAATGTGCTAATTTGGAATATTTAAATGTGGTCATTAACTTAAAAATCCTTGTTGCCTTTGTTCCCCAACTTTTCCCTCATGCATCAGTTATTTTAGCCCTCTATGTTTAATGATGTGTATCCTGAGTAGGCGGATTGTTTAACAAATCACCAACAAAATGTATGTCTACATGAAGTAATACGAGTGTAATAAAAGCTTATTAAAGGCAACACTGCCACTGCAGACTGTAAAGACAATGCATATTGTAGGAAGTCACAACTCTGCTTGTCTGTCTTGGTGAAATGGAGTTTCAGGATGCTCACATTATCAAGCATTGAACTTTTAACACAAAAACAGTAGGAATCAGTCCCTGCTGTAACTTAAACATCAGTAATTTATAATTTACATTTACTTATCATATAAAAAACTATTAATACTCATAAAGCGTCATTCATTTGTCATTTTAATTGTTAATCACCCTTGTAATAAAGTTCTTAAATTATCTTTTAAACTAGCTTTGGTCTTACATATCTGAAAACTGGATACCTCATGTTGTTGCAAAGTTCACCACAATAAAAAAAAAAGTCACAAATTCTTATGTTGGGAGAAAAAAAACATTTGTAAAGATTTCATACATGGGAGAAAACACTACACAGGAAGCTGCAGTTTTCAGTAAATTAACAGTTTACTCCAAACCACATATCTCCAGCATGTCACTTGACTTAATTATAGACAGTTTATCTTGTCATAGTTCCACTGAATACCACAAACAGGAAATCCCATCATTGTGGTAAGGAAATTATTATTTTTTTTCCTTTTACGTTTATCTGCCCTTTTGTTCTTCCACTTACCAAAAGTGTAAGTTTAGTCACATCACTTTTTAATATGCTGTCCTACTTAGCCTCAGTGATATCCAGCCATGTGGATAGTTTTGGTTTTATCTGCCTCTGAAACAGATATTCAGAGTAATCGACAGATCTTGAGTTTCCTTTTGATACTATTTTCCAGCAAAGGTATAAAAATAATGAAACTGTCCACAGCAAGGTCTGTGCGTTAACCAGAATATTTGTTACTTAAAAGAGACGTTACAGTTGCCCCAAAGATATCTAAATGTGTGGGCAAATAAATAAAAACTAATATACATGGCAGGACTTTGTGGGTAGGGGAGAATGTTTTTTGTGATTTGGGTAAACCTACATTTTTTTGTCAATCACAGAAAATGAAAACAATTATATTTATTTATCAGTTTAGTATAAGAGGGTGTTTATGACAAATCCCTGATAAAAATGTGTCCTCAGAATTTCTACATATTTACAAACACAAATAATTATTAATTATTGTCTTGTGACAGTAGAGACCTGCACATGATTCGGTGCCTTCTCACAAAGGAGTGTGAAAGTCCATTATTTCATCCTTCTCTCTTGTTCAGTAGCATCAGTCTTTTCCTCTGTATGTGATGTTCGTAAAGGTAGATGTGGCTCCTTTGTAGAGAGGATTGTGTCCCTGTTAACGAAATACACATAGAGACGTAAGTTAAGGTTAGGTTCACAGACACAAAATAAATTCAAGTTGTGTAACAGAAAATTAAAGTTAAAAAATAAATACTCCATTTAATGACCTACCTCCTATTCTGGGATCTTATATTTTAGAGACATATTAACTTGAATTGCTTATGTTTTCACTTCTGTTACTCACTGAGCATTCTGTTACTCACTGAGCAAAACTACCGTGATTATTTGCGGTTTCAGGCCTTCGGGATTCGGGTGTGTTTTTGAGGCCTATTACCAGTAAAGGCTAATTAGCGTTAGCTAATTGAAACCCAGCCCTTCCGTTGGCTGCCTTTTGTTCTGCTGAGAGTAACAGCATGCTACAAAAATAATAAAAAACATCTTCAGAAAATGAGAGCGAGAGACTGCGTGTGTGGCCTTTCTGTGTGTGAGTGTGTGTGTGTGTATGAAGGGGCAGGCGTGATTGTGTGTGTGAGTCCAAGGAAGGGGGTTTTGGTGAAACCACTGCCTCAAAAAGAGTATCTTTATTTTAGCGTGTTAACAAGCACACACGCCGCCTCGTGCTAAATTCACTGACCGTGTCCCACTTGGCACGAGCGCGTTCTTCCTCAAATTTGGCGAACTCCCGTCTGTCGTGGATGGTGACCAGCAGTTTCCAGATAAGCAGAGCCGCCAAGCCAAGGAACAAGATGGCTCCTGCCACCGACATAAGCACCACCAAAATGTCTGGACCCTTGGGGCAGTCTGGATGGAAGGAGGAAGAGATAAAGCAATGAGTAAAATGCACACATAGAGGAAGATAAGCTGGGAGCTAGGCCAGAGGAAGTGTGATTCCTTAATGCTTTTTCCTCCTCATCTCCTCTTTCACTCACACGGGTTTGATGGTTCTTTGACTGCAGCCCACTCCTCTGCTAAATGCTATGACTTTTGAGTTTGAGAAGACACCGTCATGCTGGTAATATGGCATAAAACCTGCTGGTATGGTTCAGGAATGCTTTCTTAAAGTAATCAGATTATTTGAAGTGATGCAAGAGAATGACAGTGGCAGTGGTGATACCAAAGAGCAAAGAGGAGGATGGGCCGAAGTGGAAAATAGTACAGTACAACCTCACACAGCCAGGCCACAAATCTCCCTGCCCTCGTTGTGGTCTGGCAAAACTAAATAGGAATTTGATTTGTACAGTTTCAAGAAGGCTGTACAAAAGATGACTGACAGTACTCACTTTCAAAGAGTCAGACTGGAATAACACATTACTTGTTCTCCTCAGCCATTTTTCCCGTCATTAGCTGTTCCGGAAAACTCTCTCCTAAATTAGTCATCCAATACGTTTCTGAATAAACTTGTGTGTAAAGAGGCTATGCCCTACTGAATCACTCTTCATGTTTTGTCTGCAACATCTAGTTTAAATAGTTGTTTGCAAGGTTCAAGAGTTTCAAGAGGAAACAAGGCCCTTCGTCTTCTCAACACTCTCATTAGTTCAGTGATTAGTTTGGCCTCTAGTTTCCAGGCTTAACTGATTCTCAACAGATGTTTTCTAAGCTAAAATCTTTTCAAAGTATTTTCTCAGTCAGCATCTTACTAGGAATAATTGAGTCTACATTTTCAGTGTTTTTCTTTTCTGTGCTTATTGTGTTTCTTGTTCCTGCTTATTGTTTTGCAGTGTAGTCAGTTGACATTTTTCAATCGGAATTTAGAAATACTTGAGTCCAAGTGGGATGGTAGTGGGTTGATAAAACCACACTCACGCAGCCAAGATGAAGCAGATTAACAGAGTTTTAAGCTTTAAAATAAAATTCTTCCTGAAGAAATATTGGGCTCTAAATGCAACACTTTGTTCACCTGCTAGTTGATAACTGTGCTCATCTGAGTTTTGACGCCGGGTGGCTTACAGAAAGCTTTTAACGCTGGCTGAAAAAGACACAAGAGCGGTGAGAGTGAACTAAAATTGTAAAATTGTAGGCTAGAAGCCGAAACAATTTGCTGAAGGTCACTATTAATCTCAGTAGAGCTGATAGAGTTGAGAATAGTCTGTGGATCACTACCAGCAACTTCTTTCACATAAGTCATGTGATCTGTTGTTAATATAAAAATATTCACCATAGCCGCTTCAATTGTGATTGCTGCACATTTCGTAATGCATATTTATAAATATATATATGTTTTAAAATCATATTTTCAGGAGCTAGACTTGCCTTTAATATCATTGCACCACTTTTATATTTGTGTTCTTGGTCGCAGGGAGCTTGAACCGAAGTCTGGCAACAATTTTCTCACTGTTGGCAAAAATGTCTTACCTTTACACTTCTAGCCACCAGTGATAAGAGCCATCTGGTCTATATGTGTGTGTACTTGTGGGCGGGCTGGATGTATACATCTAGTGTGCGTGCTTGCATGCAAATATATACAGCGTGTGTAGTGTTGGGTAACAAAGTGGTGCAACCAAGGTGAACTTTTACAGCCGACATCAAAGCTTCACCCCTCTTCCTCTATCCTCCTTCCTATTTCCCTCTATTTCCTGCTCTTCAGCTGACCCTTTTGATCCCTACAGCGGCTACCCTTATGGCTTATATACAAATCATGTAAAGCTTATTTCTCCAACATTATTAGGTAACTTCTGAAGTACAAAAATGCTTAGTCAACTTTGGTTTGGGGTGTTTACCATTTTCTCCGCCTCTTTCTCCTTCGTAACACAGCTTCATGTTTCCTTTTTAAAATGTTCTCTATCCCTCTCTTTTGCTTACTTAGTCTCCTCTCTCTCCCTCTCCTGCTTTGCTCTTGAGAATATGTAGA